TACATGAGTATACAGGGTATACAGGGTATACATGGGTATACAGGGTATACAGGGTATACAGGGGGCATACAAGGCATACATGGGCATACACAGGATATACATGAGTATACAAGGTATACATGTATACAGGGCATACATGGGTATACATGGCATATCCAGGGTATACAGGGCATACATGGGGAGTACAGGGTATACAAGCAGGGTATACAGGCATATAGGGCACACAGGTACAACAGGTATACAAGGCATACAGGTATACAGGCATACATGGGTATACAGGGTATACTGGGATACATGGCATACAGGGTATACAGGGTATACAGTTGTCAATGGCATACAGGGGGTATACATGGGTATACAGGGTATACAGGGCATACAGGGTATACAGGGCACAGGGCATACAGGCATACAGGGTATACAGGTATACAGGGCATACAGGGTATACATGGGTATACAGGATATACAGGGTATACAGGGTATACAGGGGGTATACTGGGGTATACAGGGTATTACAGGGTATACAGGGTATACAGAGTATACAAGGTATACAAGGTATGCAGGGTATACAGGGTATACATGGGTATACAGGGTATACTGAGAGTACATAGTTATACATAGGTATACAGGGTATACAGGGTATACAAGGTATACAAGGTATACAGGGTATACAGGGTATACATGGGTATACATGGGTATACAGGGTATACAGGGTATACAGGGTATACTGGGAGTAGATGGGTATATATGGGTATACAGGGTATACAGGGGGTATACAAGGTATACAAGGTATACATGGGCATACAGGGTATACATGGGTATACAGGGTATACAGGGTATACTGGGAGTACATGGGTATACATGGGTATACAGGGTATACAGTGTATACAAGGTATACAAGGTATACATGGGTATACAGGGTATACAGGGTATACAGGGTATACTGGGAGTACATGGGTATACATGGGTATACAGGGTATACAGGGTACAAGGTATACAAGGTATACATGGGCATACAAGGTATACATGGGTATACAGGGTATACATTGGTATACAGGGTATACAGGGTATACAGGGCATACAGGGTATAGAGGGTATACTGGGAGCACATACATGGGTATACATGGGTATACAGGGTATACAGGGTATACAGGGTATACTGGGAGTACATGGGTATACATGGGTATACAGGGTATACAGGGTGTACAAGGTATACAAGGTATACATGGGTATACAGGGTATACAGGGTATACAGGGTATACAGAGTATAGTGGGAGTACATGGGTATACATGGGTATACATGGGTATACAGGGTATACAGGGTATACTGGGAGTACATGGGTATACATGGGTATACAGGGTATACATGGGTATACAGGGTATACAGGGTATACAGGGTATACGGGGTATACAGGGTATACAGGGTATACATGGGTATACAGGGTATACAGGGTATACATAGGTGTACAGGGTATACAGGGTATACATAGGTATACAGGGTATACATGGGTATAAAGGGTATACAGGGTATACATGGGTATACAGGGTATACAGGGTATACATGGGTATACAGGGTATACAGGGTATACAGGGTATACAGGGTATACTGGGAGTACATGGGTATACATGGGTATGCAGGGTATACAGGGTATACTGGGAGTACATGGGTATACATGGGTATACAGGGTATACATAGGTATACAGGGTATAGAGGGTATACAGGGTATACAGGGTATACAGGGTATACTGGGAGTACATGGGTATACATGGGTATACAGGGTATACAAGGTATACAAGGTATACATGGGTATACATGGGTATACAGGGTATAGGGTATACATGGGTATACAGGGTATACAGGGTATACATGGGTATACAGGGTATACATAGGTATACAGGGTATACAGGGTATACATAGGTATACAGGGTATACATGGGTATACAGGGTATACAGGGAGATAAACAATCTATTACTATTACATGAAGGATATATCTATTTGGCGTAAGCGTAACATGAAAGAATAACCGCTCTATGAAAGCCACTGAGTCGAAACAACGGTGAGTGTGTGAAAAAGGGTCGCCGAAAATCGTGATGAATGGAGTAGACGAACAAGAATTGCTCACGGTTGTTCCCCAAGTACTAAAACGTCTCTGTAAAATAGTTGCACGCGGATTTTATGAGAGTGAACACGCTGCTATCATAACATTATTAACGAACTCTAAGTACCCATGTTTACAAGAGGATGATCTCAGTCGGATGCTGGGTTTTGACAAGAAACAACTACGGCAAAGTCTGGTTCGTCTAAAGAACGAAAAACTCATAAAACAAAGAATCCACAAAGAAAAAAACCCCGAGACAGGAACTACTCTTAGTTTTAATTATTACTTTATCAACTACAAAGTGTTTGTAAATGTGGTCAAATACAAGCTGGATCATGTGAGAAAAAAGATTGAAAGCGAGGAGAAGCGAGCTAAAAATCGGCCTTCGTTTGTGTGCACTCAATGCGAAAAAAAGTATTCCGATTTGGAAGTGGATCGATTGTTGGATTTTGAGACAGGCCACTTAAAATGCACCATTTGTGAGGGACTAGTTGAAGAGGATTCTGCTGAAATTAAGCAGAGTAACACATCTAGAACCAGCTTGGCGCGTTTCAATGAGCAAATGGAGCCTATCTTTAAACTCCTCAGAGAATGTGAGGAGATGAATCTATCACCAGCCATTCTGGAACCAGAGCCACAGCGTGCTCAGCTTGAAAGTGCTGCTTCTGGATCTCGTCCATCAGGACCCCGTGGGAACAAACCAGCATGGGCAAATGATGCCGGTGGTAGTGATGTTAGTGGTCCAGGTATTAAGGTTGATATAATGGGGGGTGAAGAAGATGAAGCTGCAACAGCTAACAAGCCTCGGCCCAAAGAGGCACCAATATGGATGCGGCAGAGTACAGTGGTAGCAGCTCCAGGCATTCAGACGGATGCTTTACACAGCACTCAAGTGCTGCAGCAAGGGGAAGCCACTCATAGTAAAACAGGAACCGCTGGTAAGGATGATGAAATTCTTGCTGAGCTGTTGGTTCATGAATCAGTCAATAAGAAACCACGTCTAGACATCAATGAAGCACTGGGTGAGGGTGCTGGTAATGATGATAGTGACTCGGGAAGTGATGAATCAGACTTTGAAACACCTACTCCTGGACCGGCAGCCAAAGCAAGTGATGTCACAGAATCCATGGATGGTCATACCGAGAGTGAGCAAGAAGACGACGAAGCACATGAAATCAAAATCAAAGTCGGAGACAAGATGGTGGCGATTAATGATGTGACTGATAAAATGCTGCGCCAAATGACGACAGAGGAACATGATGCTTACACAAAAGCACTTCAGCATGTTTATAGCCAGTTCTACTGAGTGACCATTTTATGGTAGCATTTTAAACGTCTGACTAACAATGTAAATCAGTAGGCAGACCTGAACTGTATTCATTCACTGTCTTGTTGGTTTTTGAGAGTGAATGTTTTGCACTCTTGTTAACTACTCAAGCAGGGTTGTCAGAAAGTTTTGAAGTAGATCGCTGAGTTGTCAAACTAAGCGACCTGTCCAGGGATGTTTTATTTAAAAAATGCCATCCTTAAAGAAATGCCAAGCAGAGTAGCTGGCTGATATTAACCAAGTAGGTGGCGATTCTCCCTGGCAGCTGGCTACTTTTGACAACCCTGCTCAAGCAAGCAATATCAATGATAGCAGTTTTGTTCTGAATAACCATAAGGCCATATAATGTAAAAACCACTGTGTACATGTTATTAACTTATCCATGAATAATGCTTCAGTTCAGAAAGATAAAGAGGATGTCATGGAGAGAGTGATCACTGCTCCTTGATCTGCTGTATGATACATTGTTAGGTTATGTGCTGACCAAAAATATTACCAAGTACCACACATTTAACAAATAAACAGAAATTTTCCATTTTTTGTACTTTTTTTTTTACTGGGCTCCCAGCTTTCTGCCAAGTTTTGATCATTTCAACATCTTTTGGTTTATGAGAGAATAGACAATGGCAAATTGTTTACAACAACGGTCAGAGTTGTGTATGGGAGATGAAGGAAACAAACTCTGTCATCATTACATCATTTCCATGGTCCATACTCTCACAAACCATAGCTCCCTGCAAACGGGCATTTAGGAAATCACTTCTTTGAATGAGTTCACAAGCAGCAAGAACCATCAAACAAAGATTGCAATAACGAATCAAACATTTAAAGAAAGGAACTGAATAGAAACTTTTCTCCATATTGATGGTCATTATCTGATTTCAGTGTAGTAACAATAATGAATGGTAAGGGGTACTCATCCGAAAACTTGGAAGTGGGGGTGTCTTTCAGGAAAAGCACTTAGAGCATGAATGCTTTTCCTCAGATGTGGGTTTTCATTACATGGTTTCCATCCTAGAATAACATCTCCACTATGATACAGTTCAGTGAAACTAGTGATGGCTTAACAAGTTAGTAATCTTGGCTTCTGTTATGTCACTCAATCATCAAACCTGGGAAGGAGGAGTTGAAAAAAGAGGGTACTCTCAAACAGCTAATTTGAAGAAGCTTGTTATGACTCACATGGAACCAAACAATAAATTTTGTCTGCAATACTGAAACTTGTCTGGGATTTGGCTGAGGACATAACAGTAATAAAAACTGTGACTTTCCTCCAAACACTGATATCACTTTGCATGATATCTTTCAACTTATCTACATAAGCTTTTTAGTTGTTATATAATCTTTTTCCTACCTCATGCAGTTGCATATTAGGGTGGGTAGAGAGAAGCGACGACCAGAAATACAGCTGTGTCCGCAGGCTAGTTGCATGTAAGCTGGTTGGGTTTTTTTTTGGAGGCAAATGGATTCCAACCAGTCTAATTAATTTGATCCCTCCATCAAATATTTACTGAGTGACCTAGGGAGTTAATGTCTTGCATAAAAGAGCCATATATGTGACCTTTCGCCTATGGCAATTCTCAAAATTCAACGTACAGCTTTCTACATGGCAAAAATACCTTACACCTAAAGTCCCTCTAGGAGAGGTGAAAAAAGGCAGTCAACTGCTGTAGAATTTCAAATTTTTGACTCTTTTCACTATTTTCTCTGTCATTCAAGCGGTGTGAAAAAATCATTGATCAAGAGTGGAAGATGGAATGTTCCTCCTCCCTGGTTTGTTCTTCAAGCCCCCCTTCTCTCCCTTTTCTTTGAAGAGCAAAATCATAGCCAACTGTTTACGATAGGGCATTTTTATTAAACAGTTCATAAATAATACACAACTATTCATTATCCTGTAGAGCTTGTGAAAGGAATAATTTTCCAAAGCTGTGGGTGGCAAACTGGTTGATTTGTTTGCTGTATGTGTTGACTTGCTGGGACAGTAAAAGGTAGTCAAGTCGTGACGGCGACTGTAAGGGTTTGAACATCTTATTCAGGTCATCATCAGGGAGAGGAGCTTCCCCACGATGTTGTCTTGAAGCATTTTCAGCTTGCTAAAAGAAAAAGCAAAACAAAACATTTTGGACACAATGCAATAATAACAAAATGATTATGTCTCTGAAAAACAATCACAATAAAGACGTTGATGTGACCATTTCTGAAATTCTCACCCACAAATTCTCCCTTTCTGTGCTGAGAATTGACAGGATTGTGAAACTTAAAATTAACAAGAATCTTACTTTTTCCAAAAATGACAATGTAACAGACCTATCTCCATCCAATATGCCTGTTTGGGTCAAGGCAGTTTGATCCCCTGGCTGTGCTATTGCTGTCTAACTAAATTTCCTGCAGTGAACATCATTTCTGCCATGTTGCTCTTTCTAGCTAAAAAATGGTCTGTTTTCAACTTAAATAATTGATTTTACCCTTCTCTGAGTATATGCTTCCTTCTGCTGCTGCTGTCTTGCAACATTACGCAGATGATTATTGAACTTATTGGCATCTTGACAGAGTTCATCAACACCCTCCATGAGCAGTCGTACATTCTTTTCTAAATAAGATCTGCAGTAAATGACAAATCGATGAATTTTAACATCATCATAATCACCTTGGTGGATATCACTAAAATTATGCATAAAAGAGGAAATTGGGAAGGAAGTTTAAGACCCAAAGAATAAAAAATAAATAATGATATAAAGGTAGCATCTATCCGATTCCTCCTTGAATTGGAATTTGGAAGTGCTGATTTTTGAGGAGAGGGGAAAACTGGAGTACCCGCAAAAAAAACCTCTTGGAGCAAAGAAGAGAACCAACAACAAACTCAACCCACATGAATAATAGGATTTGAACCCAGGCCGCATTGGTGGGAGGTGTGTACTGTCACCAATGCACCACCGTTGCTGCCCACATGATTCATACCTAAAGGTTATCAATTTTGTGTTTGAAGGAATACATCAAAATATTAAATAAAAATAATAAATAAAAAATTAATGTTTTCCTGAATCCTTATAAGGCAGAGTAGATTGTTAACAGACCTTGCATTTTCTCTTACAAAAGTATGAAAATAAAAACTGCAGGGGACTTGCTGACTGCTATAGTAATGCACGTCTCTGGACAGGCTAATCGCAGGCATGCAAAATGCCGCCCGTGCATGTAAATGCATAGCCAGTATGGAATATTTTATCCATAATTTCTGTCAGAATTTCTGACACAGAAAATGAAAATAAAATTTCTTCTGTTCTGTAAAAATACGAAGAATAGCTGTACTTTAACTCTAATGTCATTATGTGATCTTTTGTGGCCATAAAAATAGAAAGGTGTTAAGCTATACTATACCGCGACAGTTTTTGTTACTTGTAAAGTTTTACAAGCACCTTGAAGTTTAGAGCAACAATCTCCAATTGTTTCACAAATACTACATAAAAGTAGGTAAGAATTTTACTTCTAATAAAAATATCTTTCTTACCCTGTGGAGAGACTGAGAAACTCATCTGTTTGGGTATGAGGTGACAAGACTTCAATTTCACACAGCAGAGTATTGACAAGTGAAGAGTTCCTTATAACAAGTGGAATCTCTTCAAACATTGCTTCAAAACTGAGACCACTTTTGGCAAGCCTGAAAGATAACACAAGAAATATTACCCAAGAGCCACGCATGCACACAAATGGGGTAAATCAAGTTTTTACTTTCCCTTACTTCACATATAAAGCTGCATAAGTTTGCATGGGGCTAAAAGATTTGACCGCTTTCAAACTTTGTGCAACAACACATACCAACATCCAACAGGGTACGCAAATGGATGCAACATGTAACATCCAACAATGTTGGGAGTTGTTGGCCAACAATTTTTTAGTTCTTTTTTCTATTAAATAGTTATTGAAAATCCCCAAGGGGAGTTACTATTAAAGTGCTATCTTCTGATGGAATTTCTCCAAATAAAGCAGTTCTAAATGGTTTAGTGGTTATTGCAGTATGGTAAGGGCAGATTCAGGGATATTCCATAGAGGAGACTCAATCTTGTGCAAACTTAGCACTTATTTTAAAGCTCTATGTCCTTCATAGAGAATGGTTGAAAAATAACAACATAATGTCCATTTTCAGTGAAGTTTCTTGGAAAATCACACACAAGAGAAAGAGAAAAACAAATTGCACCAACATCACATCAGTTCCACACCCAATCTTCTATACACTTAGCAGCTATTTTAAAGCTCTATGTCCTTCATAGAAAGTGGTTAAAAATAACAAAAACATAACAACATTGACAGTTTTTAGTGTCCTTCTTCGGTGAAGTTTCTTGGAAAATAATGCACAGGAAAAAAAGAAAAAGAAATTGCACCATCGTCACATCATTTCCATGGTTTATAATCTCACTGACCAATCAGCATAAAGTTTGCTCTTTTATTGTACAATAAATATGGGACTTGCACAATATGGGTTCTACAATAGTGCTCCAAGGTGCCATATTTAGACTGTTTAATTTTTTACAACCTCCCTCTCATACAATTTCACTGAACAAAGAAAAAATTGTCTCACTTCTCTGCATTAAATTCTGCCTCTTTATACATTGCCATCATTTTATTAGACAAACGAAACACTTTCAAAGACAGCATTCCTTGTGAGGTCTTCCATGGATCTAAAACAAACAACAAAAAAAAGACATGGTTTCTTGTCTATTCTTCTCTTCTTATAACAGTGCTAAACTTGGAAACAACATGATGAGTACATGTAGTTTTGGTCTCTTTTGGCCAGATGGTGGCCAGAAAATGGCTTGGTTACAAGTTAATTCAGGAACTCTTTCTCTAAAGCCTTATCCACACGTATCCTTTTTTTTGAAAACAAAGATTTTTTTCTCTGCTTTCAAAAAAAAATCAGTGTCCAGAAGCTGTTTTTTTTTTTCAGTGACTGAAAATGGCACCATCTTTGATGGGAGCAATGCATGCGTTTTTACTGGTATCCAACACCAAGAAATAAACCTCCATTATACATGAGTACAGCTAAACAGCGTGACACTTTTCACCGGATATGTGTGGATGGTAGACTAAACCAGAAGAAAAAATCTTGGTTTTCAAACAAAAATGGACACATGTGGAAAGGCCTTAAGATTCCTTATAATTTGCATTGTCTTAAAGGAAAGTGAGATATAGTAAGAATCACAGAAATGTTTTTATCCCTATGAAGTTTGACGTCTTGAAATCTGGATTTGACTTGACATCAATCCAACAGACTGAGCTAGAAGGCTAATCTGGAGCACTCATTAAATTTAAGCAATAAAGTTACGGCACTGATATAAAACTTGTTGCCATGAACACATCACCAAACAAACAAACAAATAAACCACTCACCATAAATAAGTACCACTGATTCCTCAATAGAACTCTGATAACTGAATTGTGAGTCCAGTAATGTTTTGTTTACAAATGAACCAAGGTAAGTTGATTGATACCAGCCCACATGTAGATGGTCTACATTGACAGCCCGTAAACGACGCATCATCTCCATCTGGTAGTTTACTAAGAGGAAACATACAAAAAGTAATGTTCAGGGTTTTATGCACAGAATCAAAATGGATATTTAAGAGCTTACTTGTCAATTCATAATTTGATCAGTATTGAGTGGTATTTGGTGTTTCCCCAAGCCTTTTCGGTCAATTCACTTCAGTGAACCAAAACACATTTAACGCGCGGAATCGTGAGGCCTGCAAGCAGAGCTTCCCTATGTCTTCTTGAGTGAGGAGGAGAAAAGGAAGTTCTGTCTGAATCACATCAACCGTTTGAAGTCACCGCAGCCCGAACTTCTGGACTAGTCAACCTTGTTTTCTCTCATCAAACTGGTAAATTATTTTTCTTTGAGTGCAAGCATGTGTTTTTTGATAAACCGATGGTCATAAATGAGCCCGCTTTGGCAAGCGCGTGGTTATTAGGCCTGGGTCTGAAACTATGTCTTAGCCACATGCCGTGCATGCTTGACAAAGATCTTACTTGACTCATGCAATCTTCCTGGATCTAAGCAAGCCAAAATCAAGCAAGCAAAAGAAAGCCTCTGCTTGAAGGGTGATGGTATATGTGTTCCCCTCTGAAAATTCAAGCTTTCGCTTCTTAGTTTTCTTTGCCAAGGGGGACATCTTCCAGTTTCTTGGAAATTTTATTTACTTTAATAAGAAATCTCCAAAAGAGTCTCTCTTCCAGGGCCTTAATTTTTGGGCAAAATGCTCTAAAAGTTCTTTAATAAGAAAAAAATTATATCTGTAAATGCCACACGAAGAAATTCAGCCCCTGTTTTTAGAATTTTCTGGATTTGTTCCTGGTTTTCAATGCAAACATGGATTTTCTCCTTCAAGACTGTCTGTTAGCCCTAAGTGAGGAGAAGAGTAGTATCAAACTTTTCTTGGACTGAAGCAGGGTTTGAGCCAGGCCGCGCCATTGCGCCAATCCCGCACTGCAATTGGAATTGTCCCTTTAAAAAACGGCCAAGGGGACAATTTGTCTCCTTCAAAATTTAGGGAAAAAACTCGAAAGGAAGCACACACGAAGAGAAATCTTATCAAATACATGTCTGTACAACATATTTGAAACTTATTTCAGCTATAGGGGCTATTTACTTGCAAATTTATCTTGGAACTTCGTCACTGAAACGTGCAAACAGATTATGTTGCGAAAAACTGAGCACTAGCCATCATGTTAAAGGCTTTGCCATTGGTTCATTTCTGGAGCGTATTGTTGTTGAGAGAGCAAAATAATGATGACCTCTGTTAGAAAAACGTTAAAAAGGCTGGTCTGATCAGCGCAAAACCGATCGATTTCTAGCGAAATTTGCCTTGAAAATAACCACAAAATCGGCCGTTTTTTACCGATTGCTTTTCGGTGAAGTTTGCCCAGAAAACTCCCGCGAAATCGGCCGATTTTTCCGCGAATTTGTCCCCAAAAATCCCGTGAAATTTGACTTTTTCGTCCGAGACCTATCAGAAGTCCTGCTAAGAAGGAAGGGTGTACAAATTTCGGTCCCCCTAAAAATGAAAATGTCCCCCAAAATTTTAGCCAAGGGGACAAATTGTCCCCCAGTGATCAAATCCTAGCTCAAACCCTGACTGCAGGTACTAACAACATGACTCCTTAAAGCTTCTTCTTCATTTTCTCAATCTCTAAAAAGTTACTTATTCTCGCATGTAATAAGGTTCTCACCATCGTCTTCGTCATCATCTTCTCCAACTCGCACTGATGGGAAAGCAAAGCAGTTTGTTATCTCAAGTTTATGGTTTTGAATCAATCCAAGTAAAACTCCCTGAACAAGTTCGCCTGCTGATCCTTCATCTTGGCAATGTTTAATAATTTTCAGCACAACCTTGCAAAAATAATGGTATGAACAAGTCAAAAACAGTAGTTAGATAAAAAAAATAAATGTTATTGTAAAAAACAAATCGACCACAATTTTCCATCGTCTACACTCTTATAGACCATAGAAATGACGCCACAAAATGTTCAAAACTTCGCCTGCGGTTCGTGGTTCCTCTTAAGTTTTGAACATTTTATGACGTCATTTGTATGATCTATAAGAGTGTAGCCCATGGAAAATTGTGGTCGATTTGTTAAAGAGAACTTCATCGATGATGAAAATCATGGATCACGTGTGCACTAGTTTTCTAAATTTTCTCCCAAAAAGACACCAAATACGTTCCAAAAAATTACAAAGATTTTTTGGATTAACAGATACTTACCAGTCCATCAACTTGGACGCTATCAATTCGACCTGTAGAACTGGAGGAACTTGAATTTTCCGCATGGGAAGAACGACTCCTTTCCGCCATTTTGTGAAATTTTCGAGACGAAGAAGCAAATTTTTATTGCGTTGGACTGGGTATGATAATAAGTCGGATTTCACCGAATGTGATCGTGTATACTCCGCACTGTCATCGGCGATGACGTAATGGGAGCCGCCTCGGCACAAATAGGTTTCCTTTGTACTGTTGATCTTCAATCTCGTCCGTCCGGCGAAAAATGTTAGGAAACTGTTGATATTGCTACTCAGTTGATATTGCTGGCATTAACTTCCACTTGTGACCCTTCTTTTTCTCAACATTCACTTCAAAGTGCAAGGTCAATTTTTGGACTTTCGAATAAGGGACTGTCATTGAATGGCATGGGTTGTGTTTATAGCAAGCAGAGAAGGCACGAAACGAACGGAAATTTGAAGAACAAGAAGCACAAAAAAGCTCAAAGTTTCGATAATGTGAATGCCGATGATAGATATCCACGGAATCATGAACCATTACCAGATATTCCAGTGGAAAATGAAATTCAACATCCGCCGGCGGAACAGAAGCTTCTGTTTGTCGCGCTTTACGACTACGACGCGCGAACGGCCGAAGATCTGAGCTTCAAAAAAGGTGAAAATCTTGAAGTTATAAACAACGAAGGAGGCGACTGGTGGCAGGCAAGATCGCTTGTGACGAATGCTGTCGGCTACATTCCCAGTAACTATGTCGCTCCTGCTTCTTCTCTTAAAAGCGAAGAGTAAGTATTCATATATACTGTAGCTTTCAAAAATTGAGTTAGTCAACGCCGGATAAATTTGGTGTTAGTGTGCATTACATTCATTCACTTCTTTGCTGACATTTCGTCCTTCACCGAACCTAGAAAATACGACTTTCACTTGAACGAAGCTTTTTCATTTTAAAGTGAACACTTTCAGTGATTGAAATTCAATCATTCCTAATTACCACAGCGTTCACTGAAGACTGTGCGGATATTTTAAACAAGCTTCTTATTCCTGGTTATTTTGTAGTGTATTTTTTTGCTAGAATACCTTATATTTGTTACCAAAGTTTCGACTTTGAACGGTCGTCAAATGCTTTCAGTTCCGTTTTGAAGGTCCATGTTAGACAAAACCTGTTTATGGACTTGAGCATTGTTGTAGATTCCAAATGGAAACAGTAGGGAATTTCAACGGAATGCTTTAATGAATTAATTCTAAAACAATTAGAAAATTACCTCGTTCTTTGCTTTTCCAGAAGATTTCACAATAAAAGTGAAGTATTAGACTTATGAAAATGAAATTTACAAAACGTGTAATTGGTTTACAACGCCTACTGTACGTGGATTAGACATTCATGAAGATAAAGCATTTCTCGTGTGATTCTACATTTCTAATAATTACGGAATATGTGACTACGAAAAACCTTTTGCAAATGTTATAACCAAAGTAGCGTTCCTGCTAATTTATAGATCATAGTTTGAATTTTAGTGGGGAAATATTACGTCAAAATTGAACACGAACTAATCTTCTACAGACGTCAAAATTGAATGCAAACTAATCTCAGTTGCCACAATTTCCGGTTCTTGAAAGTAGAAATACAAACAACAACAAAAGCTGATTTTGTGTGGTTCTTAGAACTCACTGCACTTAGGAAGAAATACGTTCCAGCTTGGAGTTTTCCTTTATATGTTTATCATATATCTATTGTGTAAATACTTCACTACTAATAGAAGATCACACGTGGAGTTTTGACAGATACATAACTTACTTATATTTACTTTTATACTTCAAATAACTTTGTATAAACAAGAATAAAGACCCCTCTGGATTTATGCATAAAAAAGACTGCCATTAGCTATTGTATCAACTAAGACCTTCAACGAAAAGTTTTGCTCCTTGGAAGCCAGCTAAGAGAGCTGAGATACGCTTTAATGCAATGGTTGGTAGTTTGCTTCTAATCCTATATATTTGAGAGAAAATTGAGCTTATTTAAAAGTCAAAACAAACTGACAAAGTTATCGTAGTGCAACAAAGATTTAGTCAAATATTGCTTTTTGAAAAAAGCTTAAAAAAGCCAAACGATGATTAGGTCATGTCCTTGCCCGCTTGTGTCAGATGATTAATGTACTGGCCGACACATTCTTGTTGCATACAAGCATGACCTTGGAAATTGTTATTATTATTTATGTCAAACATTTAAGTCTCTCAGTTTCAGTTTTCTCAAGTTTCAGCTAAAATGTGAAGCAGCAAATGAAACTCAATCATCCTTATCAGGTCATAAAGAACCCACTTGTAAGAAAATAGCACCAGATTTAAAGCGGACACCTGTTTAAATATTCAATTTTGTTAATTGTAATTCATTATTATATTAAATTGCCAATGAAAAGTTTATCCTGCGATGGTGAAGAGGTGATCCGCTAGGTAGGTACTTAATAGACTCTCTAAAAGTTTGACAAAACATTTAAGTTTAACTACAAAAGATAAAAAGCTATCTACCTGATTAATGTTTACTGTAATTATACACAATGAATAATCAATAACCATTGCATACATGGATAGACTGTCAAAATGACTGAACACTGGCTTAACTTGCACTAAAATTATTATGCATACCAACAACATTAATTGAACAACAGATGGCATGTACTGCCAATAAGGAAAGATGGTTCTATAATAGGATTTTTTGGGGCAAAAAAGATATGTGTTAACCGAGACTAGAAAAAGCGTAGATTTGAAGTCATGGGATTGCCTTGTGTCCATGAAGCCCAGCACCATTTCTGGTGGAAAAAATACATTCACGAGTGAAGAATTGATTCAAAAGAAAAAGAATCACTGTCAAATTATTGATAAGATAGGGTTTTTCTTGTGGTTGCCAGTTTAGTTTAAAAAACACAGTGGTAATGCTAGTAGGTGTATTGTGAGATCGGCATTAAAAAAAAAACAAAATATGTAGCTCTTTGTTGGATAAGCTCAATAGCAGAAATATCCTTTGAGGTATTATGGTGAGCAGGTAACACTGCCTGCATGCAACTATTGCCTTCAATATGACCTCTGCTTTATGCATGTAATAAAAATACCATATGAAATAGTTATTAGAGAGATTTAGAGTTACGTTTATGGCAAACAGAAAACATGGATTTGTACCGCATGACCAAGCTTCCCCTGTACTTGTTGTTTACTGTTCATCATTACTACACAGAAGCCATTAGTTTCATGCCCTTTTTATCCATTTGAATTGTTTATGAACGGTTTTTATCAGCTCAGTCTTACTGGAGAATTTCTAAACTTGAATCTGCCATCTGGTGAAAAGATGACTCTAAATGTCTCTGTTAAATCTGTTGGTGGTATAGCTTGCACAAAAGTGTAACTCATGATCATCATTCCAATATTTTCACATCATGGCTGAATAATCTTAGGTGTGATGGAAATTTATGTTAGAGTACATTAACTATAGAAATAATCAAGAAAGATAAAGTACTATAAAATTAATTATGATTATGATTAGTTAACTGGGGTTTGTATAATAAATTATTCTGTTATCCAGTTTTTTGGTTTATAAGGTGTTTAAGTGTCTTAATAAATAATGATGATAATGAAAATAGTAATAATAATTGTATTGAAAACATAGGGTCGAATCTCGATGCAAGATACAGTAAAAACAGTAATGCGTGACATAACAACGCTCAGCTTGAAATCTACATAGTCATGACTTCACAAAGCCTTCTTATCCACAAATACCAAAGGTCATTGATATGCAATAGAAAATGATGAAAAAGCTTAGTTTTCCACTGGAGTTAAAAGCTTATTCAAGCTCTCAAATGAAAAGCGTTATAACATCCTTGGAAACATATAAGAATATAAAAACCATGCACTGTAGTGAAACCTGGACACACTTCATTTACATGGATTTCAGGGGCGGATCTAGGGGGAGGGTGCAGGGGGTGCGCACCCCCTCCTGAGATGACCTGCGGTTTTCTAATACAACTGGTTTTCTGCCAAACTATGTGGTTTATTGGTGTTGAAGTAGAGCAAGAGAAGAGTGCACCCCCTCCTAAAAAAATCCTGGATCCGCCCCTGGATTTCTAGACTTTGCTAACACTAGTATCTTACTGAAAACTCATCCCGTACTAAGCTGAGATTAGGCTCTACTTCCATCTTGCTTCAAGGCAAATTGAGGAGTTGTAACGTTTAGTGCAGTACTTGTGTACCTGAATTACATGTGCTTGCGAATCGAACAATGATTGTTGCATCACTTGCATTTGCATTCACATGATTACTGTAACGTCAGACGGACCGTAATCTTAACAGGAGGGTCTTTGTGGTCACATACCATGCATATTAGTTGGTACAACATGGGCATCCCAAGAAGGTGGACAGATTGTGGAAAAACCTCACTATACAGTTTATAAAGTACTGCTGACCAAGAATAGTCTATGGGCTCACTTTTGTTTGCCTGCAATAATAGTATGAATTTTTCCCATTCAATAAATGCTTTGCTTGATTTCTTTTCTTAGTTTGTTATTTGAATTAAGTTTTGAATTAATTTGTTTGTGTAACTCCTTTTTAGATGGTTCTTTGGGCCAATCAAGAGAGTTGATGCTGAAAAGATGCTCATAATGCAAGGGAAAAGCGGTTCATTTCTGATCAGAGAAAGTGAAAGCAAACCGGGGGACTATTCGCTTTCTCTGAGAGATGGAGAAATAGTGAAGCACTACCGCATTCGGTCCTTAGACACTGGAGGCTTTTACATTGCTCATAGAGCAAGGTTTGCAACATTGATTGAGCTTGTTGAACATTACCAAGCAAATGCTGATGGACTTGTAATTAAACTGGACAAACCTTGTCCCACACTTGCTACTCCCGCTCCCAAAGATCTTGCTTATAATACAAAAGACCAGTGGGAGATCCCTCATGAATCAATACGACTTGTGCGCAAGCTTGGGCAAGGACAGTTTGGAGAAGTGTGGATGGGACTGTGGAATAATACCACCCCTGTGGCTGTAAAAACACTGCGTCAGCAAGTTAGCATGTCACCCAAAGCATTTCTCTCAGAGGCACAGATCATGAAAAGGCTTCGGCATGACAACCTAGTACAGCTTTATGCCGTCTGTACTCAGGAGGAACCAATTTACATTGTGACTGAATTAATGGAGAATGGAAGTTTGCTGGATTATTTAAAAGGTCCAAGGGGAAGAGATCTTGGCCTTCCACAGTTGATATACATGTCAGGGCAAATTGCTGCTGGTATGGCATATTTAGAAATAAATAATTATATACATCGTGACTTGGCAGCAAGAAACATTTTAGTGGGAAAAAACAATGTAGTAAAAATATGTGACTTTGGGCTTTCAAGAATTATTGACGATGGCGAATACAATGCCCATGCAGGAGCAAAATTTCCCATAAAGTGGACTGCCCCTGAAGCTGCCTTGTACAATAAATTTACAATCAAGTCAGACGTCTGGGCTTTTGGTATTCTATTGAGTGAACTCATAACATATGGACAGGTACCGTACCCCTGTATGGGTAATGCTGAAGTGCTTGCTCAGGTGGAGAGAGGCTATCGAATGCCCCGTCATCCAAACTGCCCACCTAGCCTGTACCAAATAATGATGGATTGTTGGAAGGCTGAACCTATGGAAAGGCCAACATTTGAAACTCTGCAGTGGCGATTAGAAGACTTCTTTGTCATGGACACCACAAACTATGCAGATTATCCAGAATCTTGATAGTTTGACTAGATAAAAGCAGGGATTATTCAAGTGTCTTATAATCTGATTGTGGCATGAAATATTTGCATGAGCTAATTTTCATAAATTTTGTAGATTTTCTAAGTAATTACACAAATAAAATCCTGTAAAAATAAACTTTTGCAAAAAAAAGGAATTTCAAAAATTAACTCAATGTTAATGTTACTGAATTTAACTTTAATCGGATGAGATCAAGATAAAGATCTTTTTCCAATAACTAAATTTGATAGCAACTTTTAATATACAGCATTTCCTTCTGCAGAATGCAACTACATTCACAACAATTTGTTCCCAGCTATTAAGTCTGAAATTTAAATTTGCAAAAAAAATTGTTAATGCTAATTGCAAACACATAAATATGTGTAATCCTCAAAATTGGACCTGTGCAAAAATTTCATGTCACAGGGTAGAGCAAGAGAAATAGCTCTATATTGTTGTCCTCATGTTGATGGCCATCGGAGAAGCGAGAAGCAGTCAGGTGCTGCCATTTAAGAGTTAAAGAGTTGTAATTACAAAGTTTTCTACAATTTGGTCTCATTACCTCAAGATTAATGTACAGCAGTCTCGACTTTGTTTAAGTGTCTAACGTTCAATACGATTTTTAATTTGTTATCATTTTGTTATTTAAAATAGCTAAGAGGTTTTTTTTTTCTGCAAACTTGGCAATTTAGGAAAAAAAGTTTCATTCTTCAATGCAATTATGGTTATGCATATTTGCATTGTACTGTGTTATAAAGGGTGCGTAAGATGGATAATAACTTTGACCTGACAATGGAAGAACAAAGAACTAGAGGCTTGTTACAATGGAGCCCCTCCTGGAGGCTGTTAACTGACATGTCATGATATGTGATTGAATTTCTAGCTGTGGCCTTGCCACTGAAACTACATCCTTAGCTCAGAATTATAGCACAACGAAAGCCCATTACTAAATTGAAGCTTGTAAGCCACTACCCTCTGTTGTGATTCAAGAAACAAAGCTGTCATCATTTGTAGGTCTGAAGTTATGGTCATCAAACTGCTGTTATTGCCAGTAACTGTCAATTTGAAAACATCTCAAGCACTGGGTCACTGTGACTGAAGATAACTACCTAGTTGTGAAAATGCAGCTGTCAACATTAATGGTCATCGTTTGATCTTTATGTACCCAGACTACAGTGTATCGCCCAATTCAGTCTGTTTTAAAACTCTTCAGCTGCCTAGAGTTCCTTGCAAAATCCAAATTTCGGGGAAAAAAAGACCCAAATTTGATTTTGGGAAACAAAATTAATGGTATCCGAAAAAAGCAATGACAAAGGGAATGAACAGCAAGCAATACACCAGTTTGTTGTCTCAGAACTCCCATAAGCGGATATCCTTGGGATTATAACAAGCGTCTGATTGGGAGAGTTGGAAAAATGCGGTGTCTGTATGTTGCAGGGGACTTGGTCTAAGTGTCAGCTTAGGAGAGCTGCCGTCCTATGGGACGAGTCTGTCAGTGCACTTTTAATGTACCTTATTGCCTCGGGCTATGTTCAGACGGCACCCGACGAATTTTCGACCGGTTGAAAATTCATGCATTTAGGTGTTCCGTTCATACGGAACAACGTTAGCTAACCAACGGGAACTTCGACGCCTAGCCGTTCAAAGTTTCGTGTTAACAGAGCGAAAGATCAAACGGTTTCGTGTGAACAGAGTGTCCGGTTAAATTTTTCAGCCGGTCGAAAATTCGTCCAATGCCGTGTAAAGAGAGTAAATGGCTAATATTTTTTTTAATTGAACAGTTAGTAAAATATAGTGAAATGAAAACACTCTGGTCTTGAAAAGATCGAAAACACGCGCTTGCTTTTTTGCTCATATGTTTAAAGAGACTGTTTTGTTATACTTTTGCCAAGAAAATGTGATTTTTAAGGCAAATAAGTTAGCTTTTAGTAAAATAATAATAATAAGAAATGACCTTCGTTTTTCGTTAGTGGTAAGATTTTAGATGTTCAAAAACTTTATTGTACTATTAGAGCTTTTACAGAAATTTATACAAAATCGCCGGAAAGGCTGAAAATAAAATTATGACAGTGTAACATTGAATGATTATTTCCCAGTTTGTTTATACAATACGGTGGGATATCGATTATTTGCACCTCGGGGAGACCATGGTATTAAACGTTTTATCGAAACGCAGGCCTTTAAAACAGGACGTACTGAAGGCAAAGTGGACCAAACTACCGAAATGTATTTTTATTTTCTGATTCGTTTATTTTCAAACATGAGGGGCTTACACGGTAGGAAGAAACATTTGTCGTCGATTGTCATGGCATCAGGAATGACGATAAGAGACCAAGAGAAACATAAAATGTATTTTAATCGGTGTCCAAAAACTTTTATTTTGTAAACCTCAGAGCATAATAATGGGATCAAGACTGGTATATTTAGAATAGTGAGAAAATCTGCAAAACCGTAAATGATGGATCGATACAGCAAAAGTGCACAGAAGGTTTTACAAAAAAACTAACAAGTCATCTTTCATGCCGTTGTTCAACTGTCGCGTCCCTGTTGAACTGATCGGATCACGTGCGTTCGGAAAAGCTTGATAATATTATTTATGAAGCGATGAAATCATGGGGATATATGAAATTTTCCCAGTGAATACACTACCTTTTTCCAGTATTTGGGAGACTGTTAAAGTCCCGGTATTAAACGGCCTGTTGGGGGTGCGGCTCGAAATCGAATGTTAAGTCGAAATCTAGGGAATAAAACGAGTCCATTTTGTTTTGTTGACTGATAGTTTTTCTATAGCTGCAAAAAATGAATCTTCTTTAAATGTAAACTATAGACTGCAAAGCAGTCCGTATTTTTGCGTATTCAAGTATGCGCGAGCAGTGAAACAAACGGGTCTGGAACGAGGCTGAAAACGGAGAGTGAGACCTGGGGAGAGACGCTCTCCCCTCTCACGCCCTACAGGCGTGTGAGGCTCGCGCGCTTCGCGTGCGTAAGACTCTTACGGCACGCTTTACCGATTTCTTTACTGATTTTGAGAGAAAAACCCGAGTGTTTTGCAGTCTATGTAAACTACAGCTTACCGGACCCGAATTATCGGGACCTTCGAGATACGCGCCCCTGATTTAAAAAATATGGGGCTTTAGCATACGGGACAGCGACGGCATGAATGAATTTGCGCTGCTACACTCTTCTGGTTCAATTTGTCAAATTTGTCAATTTGGTGAATTTTTCTGGATTTGATTCTAAAGGACTGTACATGTATCAGAAATTAAGTAGACTGCAAAACAGTCGGTTTTCTTCTCAAAATCAGTAAAGAAATCGGTAAAGCGTGCCGTAAGAGTCTCACGAGCGCGAAGCGCGCGAGCCTCACACGCCCTGTGGGGCGAGAGAGCGTCTCTCCCCAGGTCTCGCTCTCTGTTTTCAGCCTCGTTCCAGACCGCTCGCGCGTACTTAAGAAAAAAAGGTTTAATCGTTTTTTCTTGTTCACTTCACGCTCTTCATGAAACACTGAGGCGAGTCGTGAGTTGAAAATACGACGCGCTGCGAAGTATTTTTGACGATCTTCACGGTGTTTCATCTGGCGATGAAACACTGTCGAATGCCTGATATTACTTCTCAAACAAAATGGTTTTGGAGGGAGAAATTAAGGTTTCCAAATTGAGCAGTTTTTTATCACATTTCAAAACACTCACAAACATTTCCTTTGTATTTTCTTTATGAATTATTGAGAGTTAGAGATAGAAAGATGAAAGAATGGCACGAGAGACGACAGACGTATGTTTGCGAGTGTTAAAGCAAAGTAACAGAAGTAGAGTCGACTGCGACTGTAATGATCATGTCACAGGGAGTCCCATATTACCTTTTCGGGATTGTCGTATGCACTGTTTTCCCGTCTACCTTTCTCGAAATAGCTGTATAACGAACCTCTTTGAATCGTTACGAAGACCAGGGTATAACGGACAGAAAGTGTTTTTCACTGCAGCTGTCGTAAAATTAAATGTATGGGATCAGAATCCAATGTGACAAACCCTTTCTTGCTCCCCTTGGCACTTTGTTACATGCCAGCCAGGGGTCCACTGTATCTCTCTTAGTCAAGAGGACCGGGGGGTGCACGGCCCGTACTTGGGTACAGGTGAACCGAAAGCCGCTGAGGATTTAAAACCCTGACGCTGTTTCGGACGACAACCGCAACTTTATTACACTGTTTAGGACAAAGGACAAAATGCAAGCCGTCTTTAAAAGTTATCGATTGGTAGAGCAATAGAGCAAATTCACGTGAATTTCATAAAGCAAATCAAATCAATCGTCCAGGCAATAAAAACCCCGTTTATGATTAGGACGGACTTGCATGAAATTATATACCATGTTTAGGACAGACAAGTGCGAAATTATATGCCCTGTTTAGGACAAGAGGACAAAACCATACCCTGTCCAGCGGCACATCCCCGTCTAGGCCATACAAGGGATTACACGCAAGTACAGATACCAAAAACGCCTTTATTTCTTTAAAAAAGTACAATTAGATTGCCACAAACAAGTCTTCCCTAAACTTAAACGTATTACTGAATTGCCTTTACTCTTAAAAATAAGCTACAAAAGACAGCTTCATGCAAAATTACATTTTAAAATTCGACACTTAGTTCATCCCTATAAATAGGTATCAAATACCATTGAAGTGTAATTACAAACTAGCCGTGCGATAACTAAAAACCTTTTAACTTCCTTGTAGATGCACTGCAAACCGACGTTGACTAAAGAAACCTACATCACGCATAAAATGTTTACACAAACATAGCAGAAACTTTTGATCTTTTAACTTCGCGGTTAATATCGGTATACACTGGCGTTATACAAGCACTCGCAAAGTTTGAAACAAGCAAAGCAAGTCGAGTGGTAAAATATACAACAAATGTTACTTTAAAGGAAATTGAAAAAAAGACAAAAAAAATAAACAACAACAAACTGATAATTAAAACAAATGTTGAAAAGTTTTCGACCCGTTATTATTAGTGCGTTCGGTCGATGTTCTTCATTGAGATAAGAATGCACGGAAAACTGGGATAATATACACCGTGAGACAAACAATTTCCCGCGGTAAAAAGAGCGGCTACGCTTACGTGTGTTTCCCGCGTTACACTCCAAGTGCACCTATATATTTTTGTTTGCCTAAATTTAACGTGGGACTCAATCAGAAACGAGTCAGCCAGATGAGGCCTGCATGAGGCGCGGACGCGAAGCGCGTGAGGAAGGAAAAAAGAAAAAAGAAATTCTGCTATTTCAGTTTCTCTTTCCCCTCCTCTCGTGTGTCACGCGACCCAAAACTTGTCAGAGGGCCTCCAATGAAGCCTGTGTAGGCTTCCTCTAAACCGTCTGACGTTTCTAGAAATGTTCTATGACATTGAAATTTATTACGGGAAGAAGCAGTCACAAGTACGGTTTATTTCTCCGCACGTATAGAAGGCCTTATCCTCTGGAAAAACTCTCTATGTAATCACCGCTTTAGCAGATATCACTTTCAAAGACATTATTTTCTTAACCACCGAAATGCCTTATAATCGTAATGCCTTCAACTAAGGTTGCGCATGTTATTTTGTGGGTCACTTTATGTCTAAAACAATTATAATTATTCTTATACCGGCGGAATACGATCGATCGAACACACTCAAAGACGCCTCTATTTAAGACAGCTTCTTAGCAAAAGCCTTATCCGACTAAATGAAACTAACAAAGAAAGGAATAGAAATATTTCCAGTTTGTTTTACCTCGTGCATTGCCTCGCAACTCAAGGATTATGAGTTTGCTTGTCTCTCTCACTACCTAACCTCATGTTTCAAACTTTACTTATCCAGTTCTACAGAGCCGCAAAAACAGCATCCCCGGGACTCAAAATGGCACAATAAAAATAAACATAAAGTAATGAAAATTTGTCTTTATCACGGCCTGGTGTAATTTTCCTCAGAACGGGTGTCTTGACCACTAACTAGATGGTGACAGCATAAATGTTAGGAAAGAATAGCCCAACAATTTGAGGCTTACCACTTAGTTACGCCCTCGACACCAGCTCGACGTGTAGAGAAGAGAAAGGACTGACTGTTCATGTTTTGCCAATTACATAGAGGGCAATTTTTCTTAAAGCATCCCACTTCAGAAAAAGACCCTATGAGTAGCTTTCATTTTAATAACACTTTTTGACTGACTTAAGCACTAGACTTGGTCATTTGAATCCTAGCCATGCACCCAACGGTATCCGTTACGTTAAAAAAGAGAGAGAAAGGAAGAGGAGACAAAAAATCAAAACAAAAACAAACAAACAAAGTGGTCTTCGACCGCCACTTTTCGGCTCCTAAGGGATGGTCGATCGGGCAGGTTACATGTTATCCTTGATACAATGGAAATAAAAAAGATACATAGAAATTGGTCCTTAAACCTCAAACGTACTGAACTTTCTACTAAAATTACCAACGAGGAAGGACAGCGCTTGAAACCTTAGATCATGGACAGTTCGTCTTGATCACCAAGAGGAATTTTCTCGGAATCTTTGTAAATTTTCTTTCCTTTCCTTGAGCGGTCGCTAAAAATGACGTCGGGAGAATCTATAGAAAAAAAACATACGACACGGAAAGGTCATCATCACCATCATAAATAAACTTCTAAGTAATAGTATCACTGTCATTTTGTTAACACCCTTCCTGAGTCGTGTGGAAGTGTAGAGTTTCTTTTACCTATGTTCTACTTAACGTATACAATTCACTGGTACAGCCACACTTTGATTACTGTAATGTAGTATGGGGAAACTGTTCTAAGAACCTATCTTCTAAATTGCAGAAATTGCAGAATCGCGCCGCCCGCGTTCTGACTTTCTCTAATTATGACTGCGGTACTAGTGAATTATTTCAAAATTTAAAGTAGTCGAAACTTATCCTTCAGCGCGCAGTTAGTTAAGCAATAATGTTGCATAGCATTGTAAATAACACAGCTCCAGAATATCTGACTTCGCGTTTTGTTCGTCGCTGCGGTTTAACTAGTTATAACCTTAGAGAGAATGAATCCAAGCTCGCTGTTCCACAACCCCGTACTGAATTTTATAAAAAAGTCTTTCTTACAGCGGAAGTGTGTTATGGAACAGCTTGCCTCTGGAGGTGCGGCAATTGACATCCCCTAGTATCTTTACGGAAAATTAAGAGACATAAATTTCGATTGACAAATAATTTAATTAGCGATATTCTGTTTTTACACACGGCCTCCTTGAAAAGCAGGTGTTTTCTTTTCATCTTTATTATTTTAGTTTTTATCTTAGATTTTACATTAGTTAGGAAGTTCGCTTTTCTCTCCTTGAATGTAATGTACCTGCAGGAAATACCGTGTTTAAACAAAGTTACCTTACCTTACCTGACCTTACATTATTGACTAATGACTTTCCTTCTAGACTGTGTATATCCGCCCCTTATCTCGTTTTCGTCTTTTTTTTATTCTTTTTGAGATGAAGAGGCGGTTGTACACAGACTTCTTTCGTTCCCACTCGAAAACAATACCGGAAAGGCCTTTTGTTCACACGTGAAACGCTGGTCGCCAGGATTCCTAACCTATGTGTAGCCACACCCACCCCCCGAAGAGGGAAAAAAAGGGCGTTTTTCCTTCTTCAGGGGAGGGTGCGGCTACACGTAGGCTACAGATTTCTTGTTCTATTTCCCCCGTTAGGCGGCATGGCGTTCGTGAAAGATATAACGTAACAAGCAATTGGATCATACAGTAGACTGCTAACAGTCCCTCGGGATTCGGGATTGTCGCGCAGGCAAGCATGTTACATGAGAGGGAACAAAACCAATCCCGAAACAAAGCCATGTGAATAATTATAAGCCGTTTCACACCTCATCGTGGCGTGGCCGTTCACACTTTATCAGATTGCGCGGCAAAAAAATCCATTCGGCATACCGGGAGGAAACCTAGCCCTATCCTGTGTCCCAGAGGATTTCTTCTCGCCTGCGAATTGTTACTCCCGTGCAGACCGCAGGCAGGCACATCTTCAGCCCGCGAAGGCCGAACCCAGGAGCGGCGAAGAAGAAAAGCCACGGATTTAAAATTTTTGGAACCCAGGGTAACGTAGCCCCAGACACTTACAAACAAATTTTCTGTAGTATTACCTGCTTCCATCTCGCCATGATAAACAACTTTCATTTCGTCATCCTCGTGGTATTGATCGCCCATTTGACTGTAGTGCTTCTGAAGGGACTTGTACTTCATGTAGAAGAATATCAAGCCGCCAAGCAAGACGAGTCCTGAAAGAAAAATCACAAAAGTCACAAAGATAGATCTTGCGTTTTTCTTCTAGCGAATAAACTAGTACATTTCGATTTTTCGTCGGAGAATAATAGTAAACGGCTTTCCTAACAGGCGATCTGTGAATCCAGGTTTTCCGTCCTTTTCTTCCGTTCTCTTGGTATTACTATCAAAACTATAAAAACATCGATTTTGAATGTAGACCCGGCAAAATACAACTGCTTTCAGGCGGGCCCGACAATTACTGGGACTTTCCAGAAACAAGCCCCAGGCTCCTTATCGGGGAAAAAGGGCGAAAATGGGGCGAGTGCGAAAAAGAGACGACCCGAGATGCGGATTAAGGAAGGAAAGTGACGTGGCTCGCTCGCCTTGCCGATTTTTTGTGCTCCGTTAATTAATTCGCCGTTTTGAATGAGAATGAAAAATCATTTCCATATCAAAGGCTGAGCACTTAACCTTGTTTTGATGCTGAGGCCCGGGGGAATTTGGAAATGGCATATTAATTAGCAGAAATCAAAAGTTCGAACTGACAGCAGCTTTTTCTTAAGCACTCTTTCTTGTAGCCTACGAAAACAGCCCCTTCTCCTCGCTCCTTGCCGCTTGGGGCGTTTCGCGACGAGGAACGTCTGCCACTCAGTAACAGAAATTCCATACTGATGACGTAAATCGATATTCGGTAGTCATGGGGCTCCAAATGCAAATATGTTCAATTTTACGTTTCTCCTGGTCGATTTTGGTAAAGTGTTGTATTCATTTGCGAACGAGCTCCAGCAAAATTCAAATCATTCTTCTACAGAAGTATCTATACCACAAATTTTGACTGTTTTGTTACAGATTCATTGCGTTTATATCTGACCTTTGCAGCCTTTTTCCTTATGTCTGTCATTCGTAAACAATAGCTAGGACAATATAACTATTCCGACGTCCAATCAGCGCCTATGACCAGATTCCAGACAGATTTTACGTCATCAGTATGAAATCGCAGACGTTCCTCCTCGCGAAACGTCCCCCAGCGGCGATGAGCGAGGAGAAACGTTTGTTTACGCAGGCTATCTTTCTTAAAACAAACTGAGGCCATTTGAGGCTATCCAAACCTTACTTCTGAAAGGAACATCTTACCTAATAAAGCAAGAGGTACTGCAATTGCTAAATACGTCTTCTTGGAGCTTCTGTCACTTGATCCACCCTTCCGAGCTCCAACGGATGGTTTATTTCCTGGCTTGTATTCCGTGGTTTGGGTGGGAACATTATTGTTTGTTCCATCATATGCAAACAGCCGCCTAAACGGTTGACAGCAGTTAGAAACATAAGAACCAAAACTCAATACATCTTAATACAGGTACATCGGCAAGTTCTGGTGCTCTCTTGAAAAAACTATTTTGTCACAACATTGAAAATACACGAACAAAGGAACTCTGAAAAGTGTTTGTGAAATGCTAATATAAGTATAGACCTTATTCACGAAACCCGACATCTTTATCCGCGCTTTAGGATAGCTGGGATAAAAGCAATGTCAGGTGGTATTTCTGGGGCAAACAAGTGATAAAATTTGCAAATACGAGAAATCGCGGTCGAATTTGTTTATTTTCTCTAAACGAGAAGACGATTATAGACTTGCGAAATGTAGAGTTCGAGTTTTGTCAAGTTCTACATCATTATTGCTTGCTGTAAGATAATAAGTTCTACATTTTCTGTTTTCCAGAATAAACGACTTGAATGACTCGACCGTGATTTCATGTATTGACAGATTTTTTGACTTCTTTTCCCCTGAGAAACCAAGCGAAATTGCTTTTACCTTATCAGTCCTTAAGCGCCTTCAAAGATGGCGGAAATCGTGAATAAAGTAAGACCAAGCAAAGCCTCTCTCAAGAGAGCTCTGCGTGAGGAGAATTTACAAACGCTTTTAAATAGCGGCAACGGTGCAAAAGGACAGTAGATTACTGTTTTAATTTAACGTTTGGCTGCACAAAGATTTGTCAAAAAGGGATGACCTCAAATAGAAATTAAGTGTAACATACTGTAAACTGCCACGGGTTAGCATCCAATCCGATACTTTGAAGCCCTCATTGAGAGCTGATTTCGCCTCCTCCATTCCAACACCTGCAGAACGTACCAGACATAATTTCAGGATCAACTCTAGAGTCTGTTACTTTTAGAGATATTTCACGGGTTCCCTTTCTTGATAGCGGGGTCATTTAAATCGGAGTAAACTATTGCAATGTTGTAAACGCGACCATCTAAGTAGCTCTTGCATGATTGCCGTAAGCTCTTCAAATTTTCAACGGGACTAGGCAGGCTTTCGCTTAAGGCCTGTTTACACAGGCGATTTTTGCTGCGATTCGTGCTGCTTCTGTTGCTTCCCTGTATGTAGTGGATACCTTTAATAGGGCGTCCGCGGCCAGTTCAAGGAAAAATTCTACAAGTAATTTACAAGTGTGGCTATTTTTTCGTACTCAAAAACAATGACTACACTTGTAAATTACCCTCGTAAAAGTTTTATTAAACTGACCGCTGATGTAAAATCTTCCTACCAAGACGGCAAAAATAATTTTTATCTCATCACTCTCTCAACATCACGAAAATGTTTCCTCGACCAAATGGCCCTAATGCATATTTACGTAAGACGAGCAAAATTTCACAGCCAAATCTCGTTTGTGAAGAAAATTCATCGCATCTGCACTTTGCGCATAGGTATTCTTTTTGACTCTAATGTCTTGAGAATTTGAAAATGTAAAATGTGCCAACTTGATAATTTCAAAACGTCTGTCGTAACCATGTTGAATCGCCACTATTCATGCAACCATTCACAAGGCACAGGCAAGCCTAAATGAACCAATCAGAAGTGAATAAAACACACAAAGCGGCCGCTATGCGGAAGAAAAGGCTTGTGAGCGAATATCAAACTTGGATTTGATTTTACTTCTGACTGCTTAAAAAAAATGACAGGAGATTATTTAGCAAGTCTCAAGGCGAAGAAACGGATAAAACGTAATTCGAAACCAGAACATTACCTGTGGCATTAAGCGGGGGGATAAGATCGAACTCAACATTGTAACCTTTGACAACAACGGCGGCTAAACGACGACTGAAAAGAAGCAGGAACAGAAGTTATCATACATAGGCATGTTTACAATTAGCAACTATGTTTCAACCGCTTTGATTATTATTTAACTTCGAGGATCATTTCCACTTTCATATCTTCACCCGCAGTTCAAAATATAAGTCATTTTCATATAGTTTCCATTTATGTCATTTCCACCATCGGGTATATTACGAGCAATGGCTTGCTCTCCAGTTGGCTTGATTAGCTTGAAGCATAGATAGTTGCGTCCGGTCATCGCTAAGGTCAGGCCGTTCGATTCCCGGTCAAGCCTGAATTTTTTTCAGGTTCTTAATCAACCGTTTAGGTTGTTTATTTAACTGACAGGATCATTTCCACTTTCATATCTTCATCCGCAGTTCAAAATACGAGTCATTTTTGTATATTTTCCATTTATCTTTGCAACTGTTGCCTGTACTCTATCACGGAGTCCTGGGATTCATTTTGAAAGTTAACATGGTAGTTGAGTCAGGTCACAGTCTTATATTGATGCTATGAAGTTCTAGGGAGTATTCACTTATTAATGCTACTGCTATATAAGTATCACTGGCTATATCACGCACACGTTACTTCCTACTTGACAAAAATTACCAAAAACCCCTTCTGTCCTGAGGATGATAATGAGGAGCTAGGTGATGTTGCACGGGACGATTCGCAACGACGATTTTTAGCGCAACACAGGGTTGCAACATTGTCCCGATATTGTTTCGAATAGTTACAACATTGTTCCAACATTGCAATGCTGTGCTGCGTTGAAAATCGTCGTTGCCAATCGTCCCGTGTAACATCACCTTTAAGCAACATCGACGGCGACGGCTACGAAAACGTCACTTGAAAAGTGAATTCGCGCTGCTTCAAACTTTACTGCGCTTATTCCATCTCGTGCAATTCGTCAAAAGTTGGCAATTTGTTCTGGAGTTGAATTCTAAAAGACTTGTATCGAAGTTCAGGAAAAGAAAAAGAAAGTCGTTGTCTTGTGTTCACCGTCCTCAACAAAACGTGAAATTAGGCACTTTGACGTCGTGGTCGTGCAGTGAATTACTGGGAAATGTATAACAAAGCGTGATGCACGTGAAAAGTTGTTGTTTTGCCAATCTCAAGGTGATATTACACAAGACGATTCGCAACGACGATTTTTAGCGCAACACCGCGTTGCAACATTGTTGCGACATTGTTTCGAATGGCTGCAACATTGTTCCAACATTGGAACCCTGCGTTGCGCTATAAATCATCGTTGCGAATCGTCCCGTGTAACATCACCTTAAAGGTGATGTTACACGAAACAATTCGCAACGACGATTTTTAGCGCAACACAGCGTTACAACATTGTTTCGAATGGTTACAACATTGTAGCGCAGTGTTGTGCTAAAAATCGTCGTTGCGAATCGTCCCGTCTAACATTACCTTAAGCCTATTGCTTTTTTTCCGTTCTAGTTGCCGTCACCCTCGCCGTCGTCGTTTCCTCAGCTCCCTAAAAGTGATGTTACACGGGACGATTCGCAACAACGACTTTAAGCGCAACGCAGCTTTGCAATGTTGGAACAGTGTTGTAATCATTGGAAACAATGTCGGAACAATATTGCAAAGCTCTGTTGCGCTAAAAATTTTCGTTGCGAATCGTTTCGTGTAACATCACCTTAATGATAGCGTAAGCAACGACTATAACAACGAGAAAGGCAACAGGTTTAGTTCATTTTGTTAAATATTGCCAATTACGAGTTTTATTTGAGACTACTTGTGAATGACAATATCTGAGGTTTGTGTCAAACAAATGTCTCCCAAACATTGTCGATCAAACTTTGAAAACTTGTTAGGCTAACAAGTTTTAAAAATCCATAACTGGAATCCGTATCAATCTTCTTCAAGTACTGTCCATGCTGTGTTATTCATATAGTTAATAGAATCAGTTATTTCATGTTTTACTCAGTTTGGTGGCAGTTCGTACTGTTTGAATTTTGATAATTTTCATGACACTGCTCCTTAAAATTGGCGAGAAAAATAAACTTTGCACGTGCATGACGCTTTTTGTTACATTTCCTTCACGTTTTATGGAGAACGCACACTCAAGAGAAAGATTTCTTTCTTTCTTTCTTTTTCTGAACAGCCCTTCGGAATTCAATTACAGAAAAATCCGCCAACATTTGACAAATTGCGAGAACTGGAATAATCGTGACAAAGTTTGAAACGGAGAAAAATCGTTTTCGCTACCGCTGACACCGTTGTTGTTGCTTAAGCTCTCCAGAACGGTGATGACGATGGTGGTCACGATGATGACTTTCCTTCTTGTATAACTGACGCGAAACCTTCTTACCAGCGGCGCTAAGAAACGCACTCTAATCTCCTTGTCGGGGACAGGTACTTATAGGATAATTTACTGTAGAACTGTAAGAGGCTACACTCACTCTGATATGCGCGCTGTTTCACTTGCAGCCTTGATGAATTCCGGTATAAAACTTTTAACGTCTCTAGAATCCATGTTGGCTCCGTTATATTTCAGCTGAAGCCGCTCTGTGCCTTTTGAGGCTGTGGAAAAACATTCACAGTCAAATAATGTGAAAACCCCTCTGGAGCTACATCATTTTTATGAAATGTTTTAAAATATTTTAAACTTAAAAGGTAATTATTCGGGGATTTGACCTTAAAAACATGTTTGCTTCCAAAACGAATCCACACTTCTCCACCCTACCCCTCTACCCAATCAAGTCTCTGGACACCACAGGAGGAAGCAGGGCTTCAAAAAATAACCCTATAATGATGACATTTAACGCTGTGATAAATCTATGATGGTGATGATGTGACAGAGATATTAATAATGGTGATCTATGATAGTGATATCAATAATGGTAGGAGTGATATCAATAATGGTAGGAGTGATATTAATAATGGTAGGAGTGATAGCAATGATGGTAGGAGTGATATCAATGATGGTGGCAGAGATATTAGCGAGCTTTAGATTCTACAGTGGAGGTCAAAAGTGTTGGGACCTTTCCAGTGATATTACTAAAACTAGCGACTCCTCCCCTCCCACCCCAAACAAAGTTGAATTTGGAGCAAAATGGGGGACACTGAGTGCTTTTTTGGCCACAACATTGCTAGAGGAGGTGGGGGACGACGATGGGATGAACCCAAAGCCGAACAAAAAATTGTCCTTAGGAGCAGAATCCTACGGAACTATTGCTTCGAAGGGCTTTTTCAAACAGTCCCAAGTTCGTTTGTCCTCCATTGTAGGATGAGGACGACTACGAGACCGAGATTTTCTCAAAACGTAGCAGTGCGCGCGCGCTTTAACCAGCGTCATTTTTGGCGGGAATACGTGATAGCCGTCGTCATTCTCTACTGGTTTTAGCGAGAATGTCATAGTGACAGAAACAAGTTACCAAATGTTAGAAATTTGCTCATTTTTGGATCGGGAGTGGGCTTAGCCTGCTTCAATTAAAATAACAGTGTTAACTTTTCTGATGAAAAGGTGTACCTATTTTTTGGGAATACGCGATAAAAACTCAAACTTCGTTCTTGTAGTCGTCCTTGCGTCCTCGATTCTAAAGGCCTCTACTAATGATGGTGATGGTAATGGCAATGGTGGTGCTAGTGATGGTGATATCAATGATAGTGATGATGAAATCAATGATGGTAATGGTGACAGTCAATGAAAGTGATGATGAAGACAGAAAGGCCTCTATCAATGATAGTGATGGTGATATCAATGATTGTAACATCAATGATGGTAACGATGGTTTCAATGGCGGTGATGATGAAATCAACGATGGTGATGGTAAAGGTGATATCAATGATGGCGATGGTGATACCAATGATGGTGATGACGAAAACAGGAATGGTATTGTGTGCTGCTGGTGATAAAACTACAGTGAACGCGAGATGGTGATGACAACCATGATTAAGGCGATATGATCAATCACGACTCGCGATTATGGTGTCACTGATGGACGTAGTGCTTTTACAAAGGAATTTAAAATTGTCAGGTCTCACTAACCAGGGTCTGTCCTTTGGACTCTAGGTTTCTGATACTGCATAGCTTCTCCAGCACCGTTTTTAGCTTTCACAATAAAGGTGTACGCTGTATTGCTAAACAGGTTCTTAAAAAGGTAATTATGAGTTGAGCCAACTACGGTGATCTCCTCTGTCTGAGAGTGACGAACCTGGCCCCATGTGATCTGTAACAAAGCAAAAAAATAGAAACCATGGGGGTACTTACCATTTACAAAGGAAAATCGGAAATCCCGGGTGGAAAATCAAATGTTTTGCGCCATTTCTTTTGGGAAGCTTCAGAAAATATGGGATGTGTTTTGAGGTGATGCACTTTTTTCGGATCAATTTAGGGTTTAGGGGAAACTGACCACCTACCCCTCCCCTGAACCAACATTTTGCCCTAGATGAGAAGAAAGGGAGGGGTAGGTTGGTTTGCCTCTACCGCTGTTTTTATTTCACACCGCGCATATTAAGGGTGGGGTGGGTCACAGTAAGCTCACTTATGGACCTAACCTGAGAAAACAACCGAGAATTCGCGACGAGATGAAATGACGTCTGAGGAATGAACGCAAAAATTCCATACTGATGACGAGTCACTACCCAGATCTGGGTGGTGCTTCTGATTGGTTGAAGCAAGTTTCCCTCTTAGCACGACAAACCCAGATAAGAGTAGAGACACGTCATCAGTGTGGAATTTCTGCGCTTATTCCTCAGGCGGTTTTCTCAGGTTATCATGTTGACGTCCGGTTGTTGTTAATAGGGGCCTTAAGATCCGACGACGGCAACGGCGACGGCAAAGAGAAAGTGAAAAAAAGAAATGCGTGTAATAAGTAAATCAAAACAAAAACTCTGCAGCACACTTTTTCGTCCCCTTTTCCGTCACTGCACGACTAGGACGAACTTAGAATTCTCCTACATTTGACAACGCAAGTGAGTTCGAATAATCTTAAAGAAGATCAAATGAATGCGAATTTACTTTTTAAGCCACGCTTTCGCTCCCGTCCCCGCCCTCCGGGATCTTAAGGTCCCTAATAGGCCCTGTCCAGACGAATCCAGGTAACAAAATATGTGGTTTCAACACTGTCCCGATTATTGTGGACGACGCCCAAAATCTAAAAGAGGACATCTGAATACTAATCTGTCAGATTCCATTCCATTCCATTCAATCCCATCCCATTTATAAAAGCTACCTTGTCGATTGACAATGAGTACATCTTCAACAAGATACCTTGTATTCGTTGATTTCTCCATTGGGTGGGTCTGGTGTAGACCACGTGATCAGAATAGTTGCTGACGGGGGGTCGATGGTTTCTGCTGTTACATATTTCACGACACCAGGAACTAAAACAGGAACATTTCACGTATAAATAGGAATAAAATTTAGACATCACGTTTTAAAGGAAAGTTTGGTCTCAAGGTTCATTCTACCAGATTTGAGCGTCACGACAACTTTTATTCAAAAATCGAAGGAGCACTATGACAGCTGTCTGGGCAGTAAACCATGCTGCACCAAAGCTAAAACTGTAACTCAAATGGACACGCGTACAACCTCTCTTAAGCCTGGTTTCCATATGATTGCTGCAAAAGACCTCAGCGATCGTAGCGACAACGATCGCGGAGATAGAAACGTTGTCGCTGCGATCGCTGAACTTTTTTTCAGCCATTGCAGCGATCCTATGGAGACCGGGCTTTACAGACTTCATAACCAACTAGCGCTTACCATATTTGGAAGACGCGAGCAACGTACCATCGATTTCCACAAGTTGTTCCAGATTTTCCAAAAACTTAAGGTTGCTCGTAATTTCTCAAAACGTTGCTCAAAAAGCAATCAAAAGTTGCTTTTTGTATCGACAGTTGATCAAAAAATGTTAGCAGAAACAAAAACGTTTTTTGGTCTGATGCTAAAGTATTCAAATTGTACAACAAAAGTAAGATTTCTAAGCATTTTTGTGCAATTTTACGGCGTTGCCAAATAACTTTATCCTCAATAAAACCAAAAAAGGTAATAAACCAATAAAATTGTTGAATATCCTTCTCCACCCGAGACACTCTAGTTAGTCGAGTGTGAATCTTCGGCCATCATTTTGAATTTTCTCTACAAACCGCTGCCCGAGCAGCCCGGCTGATTTCATCTTGCGACCATGATCTGCCAAAGGGAGCGAGGATTTGGCTCCTTTTTAAAAGGAAATTCATAAATTGTCTACTAAAACATTGTGAAATATGGAAGAAAGGCCGCCAATTTACGCACTAAAAGCTGCTCCGATATCTCCGAATTAGAAGAATTACAAAAAGTTGCTCGAAATACGAGAAGTTGGCAAGAAGTTGCCGAGCAACTTGTGGAAAGCCCTAGCAAAAAACCATCGATTCGATGGTATATTTGATTGGAAACGACGCTGACCGATGGTATATTTGATTGGAAACGACACAGACCGATGGTATATTTGATTGCAAACGAGGCTGACCGATGGTATATTTGATTAGACACGAGGCTTCTTAGAATAAAATGAACAAAAAATGGAGGATCCGAAGAAGAAATAGCCAAATTTCTGACTAAAACTGAAAGCAATAACGGAAGGAAAATAAACGCAAAACATATTGCTCGATTGATGTTTTCGAATTTTTGAGGAATTTCTACAAGAAAAATCTGTTCATATCCTGAAACCGTGCCGAGAAATAGGCCAAAGTTTTGAATAACGACTGACGAGGAGGAAAGGTTGTTAAGAACTTAGAAAAATTTTGAACGAATAATAAAGCAATTATTGAATTGATTTTCGTATGCTCTCAGAGGCTGTTACCAGTCCACCTCGGCCGTCCTCGTCTGCGTAATTCTTCACATTATACGCGAAAGCCGAATTCAATAATCGTTTAAATTATTTTCATTTCACTGCTAAGGGAGGACTTACCACTTTCACTGGTTTGACAAATTACAACTGGACTTCTTGCACTAGAGCCTACGTCATTTTTAGCGGAAATGCTGAATTTGTATTTGGTGTAAGGAAGAAGACTTGAAACGGTATAACTTGTCTTCTCTCCTTTTACATCCAACGCCTTTGTCATTTCTAATGAGCTTTCCTGGAAAAGAGATTTTTAAAAACATTCTTAGCATGGTGCACTGAGGTTGATTACCACAAAATAATAAAAATAAATAAATAAAAAATACTTAATTATCCCTTAGTTTTAGCCTTAGTTTTACCAGCTTTTCTGGACAGAGGCCTGCCCAAAGGGAATGTGCACGAACGGGACTCGGGTCCCATGCAAGGTACCATCCTTACCCAATCCCACAACCCGTAAAGGTTGGCCACACCACCGGGGTCTACGTCTCCTACTCTTTTCGAACATTAGGGACCTTAAGATCCGAGGACGGCGACGGCAGTGAAAACGTCGCTGAAAAAGTGAATTCGCGTTCTTTCAATTTTTATCGCGATTACTCCAAGTCACTAACTTTGTCAAATGTAGGCGAACGCTCCTAAAGTTGAATTCCTATAAGCTATATCCAATTTCAGAAAGAGAAAGGAAATCTCGTCGTCGCTTGTGTACTTCCTCTATACATCGTGACATCAGGCATTTTCGCGTCGTAGTCGTGCAATGACGGTAAAAAAATGTACAAAAAGCGTGATGCACGTGCAAAATTGTTGTTTTGCTAATTAAACCTACTGCTATTTTAGCGTTGCCGTTGCCGTCGCCGTCGTCGGATCTTAAGCTCCCTAGTGGTGTAGGTTCTTTTACGTCCCAGAAGAACAGATCAGTGAAAGTGCTGTGAGACGGGACCTACGGTTTTTCGTCCTTATCCGAGAAGACTAGAAAGTCTAACAGGAGACGGATGACTGTATTCGCAGGCCAAAAAATATAATGATGATAGTGACAGTACTTAGGTCTATTCCTTAGTATTCTATGGCGCATCCTTACTGCACATAATTTGATGCGCAATAAACGTGGGCACATACAAACATGGCGACTGTTTTTTTTTTTGCTGTTTTTTTTAAATGGGAAGTAACTTTCTTTCTCTAGAATAAATATAGACTAATGTCCAGTGCAGAAAAGGAAACAGTGGTCGAAAACTGGTCACAAGTATGCACTTGAAAATATGAACACATTGATATTTTAAGGAATTATTGCATATATACAAGTTGCTACTGCTGCTAAACGAGTATGGCGACCCCCAATTTTAGTACAAAATTTAACTTCCTATAACCAAAACAACCAATTGGTAAAGTTTGACAAAATCTCACTGCGCGGGGTCAGTTCCATTTCAGAGGAGTGACCTTAACCCTTTTTTTAGTGTCATCCCCATTATTCCCCACCCCCGATCCCCCATTATTCCCTATCCCTATCATCATCATCGTCGTCGTCGTCATCATACATTCACCTAAAATTATTTACCTCATAAATTTCATAGGATAAACCAGGACTATTCTGAACAGGATCCCATGCTAGTGTAACTCGATCTGGACCTCTTGGAGTGGAACAGCGAAGCTTCTGAGGGATTCCTGGCTCTAAAAGAGCAAACATTGTTTTTTTTTACTTTGCTGTGGACCGGGAGAAAACAACGAAACCCCGGAACAAGGAAGTTCAATAGGACGGCAGTAAAAAAGGTCGTTATGCGGGCCTGCGTTATAAACGATTCTCGTTTGACCTTGAGAAATTCTTTGCGCAGGTTTTGTTTTTTCACCAGTATGTAGATAAAACTGTTGAAAACATTAACCCTCCGACGGACGGAAAAGAGCATCATTTAATGTCCCTGCAGGCAGCCCAGTTTTTGTACCTCAAGTAATAGAAAACTGCTCTTTATCCGAAAGTCTTTTTTCAGCTTGAAAAACGTTGTGTGTTCGCTAAATCAACCAAACGGTGTGCGTATTTGTGTCTGTTCGACAAACCAACCAATTTTTTATATTCTTGCTGGATTGTTATTTTGATTTTGTTCGTGAATAATCAATTAAAGGTCAACCGAACATCGCTTTGTCGAGATTCTGTTCCATATTAAATTTTACAATGAATGGGAGCGAAAGATACCATTTGTTAAATAAGCCATTCTTTATACATCGGGCTGGTTTGCCTCTTGGTCATTTAATATTTTCATGATTTTGCCTTTGCTTCAGTCAAGTATAGTGGCGATAATAATGTGTTTTCGTTTTCATCCGTTTCGCGTTCCGATCGAAAACAGAGGTTTTCGAAAACACTCTCTGGAGTGGAGGTTTTTGGAATGGAGGTTCAGCGTATTAGTGTCGGCGGGCGAAAACTGAGGTTTTTGAAAACGCTTACGTCACTGCTCCGCTTTCGTAGACATACACCTCCGTTTTCGATCAGATTAGAGTGGAAGAAAAGCAAAAACGGATACAAAGGTCTGCGTTTTCAAACGAAAACGTACTAGTATGGACGGTCGAAAACGCTGTGAAAAAGCCAGTGTGAACGAAAACTTTTACTGCGTTTCCGAGAAGCAACGAAAGTTTTCGAAAACGTATTAGTGTGGAAGTAGCCTAAGAAAAAGTAGCGGGTATACAGTCTCTAGCACGAGCAAGCATATTACCTCAAAAACATACGCGTCAAAAGGTAGCGTACTCAAATTGTTTTCACCCGTCCACACGAAAGCGCTAAGACGATAGAAATACGATTGAATGCCTTACAGGGCATGCCCTGTATCATGTGTGACAGCATCGTATTCGAAAAACTCCGTTTTCGCTCGTCCACACGAAATCGACATGCCGGCGTTTTCAAAAATCTCCCCCCTGGAGATCGCTTTTGAAAAAAGGCACTTTCGGTGATCATTATCTCTGTTTTCAAAAAACATCCGCGTCCATACGTTGCGTTTTGGAATCGTTTTTAAAAGGTATACGTGTGAACGGGTCCCTTGATTCTCGGGAAACAAAATTAACTGTTTCCCTCGGGACCGGTAATTAAGTGTTTATTATTGTCTCACGACTGATTAATGATAGAACAACAACAACACAAAAATATTGAACGGACTTGGCCAAGGAATTTAAGCTTATCAGAAACGAAGAAATATATATTCTAGTCGAAAAAAAATAATTAAAATTATCACAAAATGAGACTTACTTAGAGTTTGAGTGATAAAGCTAATGCTTGCTTTCGGTCCTTCGCCAACCTCAGAATACGCCCAAACAGAAACAGTGTAGATATTTCCTGGATTCAAATTACAAACAATTTTAAAAGCTGAGGCGGCATCATTGATCGAACTGTCGTTGACCTGAACTTTGTAACCCTGCAATCAAACAAAGATCAACATCGTAAATTGGCCGGGTTAACTGGTATGACTTATAACCACAAAGGCTCTAGGGATCACTTGGAGGAACAGCAAAAGCATGGCGGGGAGCAGCAAGCCCCCGATGAAAGACGCTCTCAAGACCTTTCCGACTGAAGCAGGACCCAAACTAATTTTCGGACGGTGGCTGGACTCGGACACTTGAGTGGCCGTAAGGGACAACTGAGTTCAAACAAGCAAACCTTTGGCAACGAGAGTTTGAGGATGGTGTAACACAGTAATAGGGTAAGTCTGAGGCTATGACTACACGCTATACTCCATCGGATAGGGTTTCGTGTCGACATGAAAAGCTATTCGATACAGTATGAATGGCAACGTCACGGGACTGGAACAAGTCGTTTAAACACACCGAACATCGTACCGATTGACCGAGAGGGATTGGTCAACACAACACCAGTCCTCACTTCTGAATATTAACTTCCGTCTCAGTGGATTCCAGTCCTCGCTCCTACCCCAGTTTACTTCCGCTACGGTCCGAGTATCGGTTTACCCTGCGACGAATACCTATCCGATAAGTGACGATCCACTTTCACGAACGACACAGCGCAACTTCGTTCCATTACAAAAACCGTACCGAAATCACCGTCCTTATGGTATGGTTTTCGTCGGCGCATGAGCTGTCCGGTAGGGTGTGAGCATAGCCGGAGGATAGGAGAAAGTGTACGTCACTGAGGATGAGGAAAGAAGAAAGATCTTCAAAAGGAGGCCTCAAACTGACCTTCGCAGGGAAAACTCTCTGATCCCCTTTGGACAAGATTGGTGCCTTCCACCTCAGCATTGCACAAGTGCCATTGTCTGACACTTTCTCCAGATTACGTGGCGCTTGGGTTGGTTCTGAAAAAAGGGGCACAAGAAAAAAAAATTGTTCATAATTAGCAGCTAGGTGGACGAGATTAGCTGGATACAGGGCGAATAAATCTTTTATTTAGACGCACAATATGAACTAAATTTATTTTACAGGTAAATTACTCATAACAGTATTTAGGAAATGCCTTTGACCAGACAGCAGTGGCAGAATTACAGAAGTGAGTGTTGACTATAATTCTCATCACTCAACTCAAAGAACTAAGCGTGGCTTCTTGCATCAAGAAAAATATTTTGTCGACGCAACAGGTCTCGCTTATTTTTCTGACGCAATAGGTCACACTTCACCTTCAGGTCATGTGGCACGCCGATGACCTCAATTAACACTTGTTGCAAAAATTGTTTTAACTAGAAAAAAGATTGATAAAACGACAAGAAACGACTAGAGCGTAATAGTCCCTCCTCGTTTGCGAACTGAATCATATAGTGATGTGGCCTTCAGAATTATCGCTTTTCTTACTTACGGGCATTATGCACACGACACGACTGCATAGTGTTACAGTTGCTATGGAAACTGTAAACAAAAAAAGTTATACTGATACTGAGAGCACCAAAGGGTTTACATGAAGCACCACCCAAACCGCAGTTTAAAGAATATTATGGTATTGTCCGCTTTGGTGAAAATAAGAGAAACGTTTCTAGTCTTCTAAGGAAACCTACCGATCCTAAATCCAAAGACTTAATCACTCAACCACCAGGTTCACTGATGGGATAAGATTTCAGCAGGGATCGTTTTGGGAGTGGATAAATAAAACATTTATTTCCAATTACAAGCCCGGGGGGTTATATTTGGAGGGACGATTTAACGAAGGGTTTTTACGTTACCGTTTTGGGGGGGCTTATATTTGGAGGGGCTTATTTTCGGAATTTTACGGTAGTCAGATTTACAACTATTATTTACACTTCGACAGTAATTTAGAATGATTTCACTTGAACAGATTCTTACTTGATAAACTTGTCAGTGCCTGTTTAGGACCTGCCGCTGCACTCCGACCAGCCGAGCTCACTGCATACACCTGCAAAAGTTGAGTCGCGTTGAAACATTCATTGCAAAGTTTAATTGTAGAGAGTCTGTTGACTGTTTTGCAACCCGTTGAAAATTGTTGTGGGATTCCGTATACGTAATGTTTCGATCAGTGTTTAATCTTGTTTTGACTTTGTTACAACAGTCTTATTGTCGAGGATGTTACGGAGCTTAAGCAAAGTCGTTTTTGAGCGACGCTCGTGAAGCGGACGTGGACTTCTTGTATTCTTGAGCAATGATTTTGCCCCAATTCTTGGGCAAATCGTCTCAGTCAGAGGAACGTCACTTGGCACTGAATACAAATTTGTTTAGCAATAGAGACCTTAAAATTCAAGGAAGAGAACGACTACGAGTACGAGATTTGACTTAAAGGTTTTCGCGTACTCTAAAAAAAATAGGCATCCCGGAAAGCTTCAATGTACTTTCTTTCACCAGAAAAGCTAGCACTGTTTTAGTGTTATCTTAATGATTGAAGGTTAAACTCTCTCCCGGTTACAAAATTTTTGCAGAAACTAGTAGTAGAATGACGATGACTATCACGTTTTCCCGCCAAAACTGCGCTGGTTCACGCGCAAGTACTGCTTGGTATTGAGAAAATCTGATACTTTAAGTCGCCATCGTCTTAGATTCTAAGGGTCGGTTATTTAAACGAAGTCTAACTTAGAACGCGGTTTAAGAAATCTTTCGACCTTCATATCTCTTCCTTACTGGGTTAATTTGAGAAGATAAATGCTTTTGTAATCTACACTATATGCTTTAATGAAACTGTTCTCGACAAACGGTGTTTAGATAAAAGCGTTGAGCAAACTGAAAATGACTTAGAACGCGGCTTTGTTATACAATGGTTAAACTCCGTTTGAATAACCGGCCCTTAAAGATCTTTTAAGGAATATTTAACAACTGCGTCGCAAAGTGGAGGTAGGTGGCCGTGGGCCCGGGGGCCCGGGATGACCAGGGGCTTTCACTTGTGGCATAGCCACCTCCTAGACAGAGTTACACTCAACTCTCACATTGTGGACACCCTGCTATAACGGACACCCCAATAATACGGATAGCAGCTAAATCCCAGGCAAAAATAAATTGCAGATGTTTAAATGATATAAACTCCCGCCATTACAGACTCTTGCTAATGAGGACATTAATTGGAGGTCCCTAAAGTAATCGCTATAAGGGGAGTTGACTGTACATCCCCATGGCTGGTAAAAAGGGAGGGGAGGGTGGGAAAAAAGCGCAAACCAAAGCCTAAATGAAGCGATTGGCCCCCATGAAAGCGTTGTTCTAAGCACATGAAGCTGACGAAAGCAAGGCTGACGGCGCTTTTGCTACCACACTGACCGCTGACCGACAAGAGACAGTGCTCCATGTAGTTAATTAAGCTAAATTTCATTTAACTTCATTAAAAAGGAAAAAAGCCTCACTTCCGAGGATTAGTGATTGGAATAAAACCCCTTCCTTTTCAGCGCCCTGAGAAAATGGTGTTAAATTGTTTCTGTTTTGTTGGGAATTTTTATACATACATGAGCGACATAAACAAGTGATAACTCATTTTACTACGTAACACGTCTCTTTGATATTAAAAATTCAAGGAGACATTTCCGTCTATCTGTCCCTGACAGTTACCTCAAAGAAGTAGTATGTATCTTGCATTAAACCAGTAAAGGTTTTTGATAGGTTAAGGCCAACATTGATCGTCTTGACAGTGGGAGGATCGGCGGCTGACCAATATTGAATCTGCAGAGTAAATGACAAATACGCATATACCTTTAAAAAAAAAACATGCCATAGCGATGCAGCAACATAACGAATCAGCTATAATTATTATCTGGAGTAAACACACGCAAGTAGATAAGACGTTGTGCGTAATACAGTAAACATCCACGTATAAGAACCTAAATTTTTTGAGGTCTGGCAAAAATGGTTTTTCGGGGTAGTTATTAGCAATTTTGGTTACGTAGGTTCGTAAATTAGGTTCTTAAATTCAATGAAGGAGATATCGTTGTTGACTACCAAATATAAAAAGAAACTTGAGTTTGGTCCTTAAATAAACAGCATTTATTCACAACTGTGCGTTGCAAATCTCCTTTCTGCAAGGTCCATGAAGACAAATACAATCTGTGCTTTGTAGAAACCTGTTTTCGTTGTAAGATTTACACTAATACATCTGTTTGTAATTACAGTTAGGTACAGTATTTTCTTGTAGTATCAATTGGCAAACTCGAAGTCAAACTCCTTGGTTAAAATGTCTGGTGCACCAACATGGCCGCCGTTTTATTCTTGTGGGACACTAACATGGCGGAAGTGATGTCATGTCAAAAGGCTTTAAAAACCGGTGTCGCTTTCGGTTTTGCTTTCTCACGTCTGAGGAATATTTCTGGTGTTCATACTTTTCTGAGTATAATAGTAACAACACCCTCACTTTTTCAAGTAGCCAAAGTCAAAATTGGCAAAAATTTCTCAATTTCATTTAGTAGGCCTGTTCCAGGCGTTCATAGCCTGCTAGCAAGCTCTCCATTTATGGTGTGCGAAGTGAGTCGCGAGTGGGTTTTCTTTCCCCGCCCCTCGCACTCGCGTCTCTATTCGCGTGCTGCTCTCACGTGACTTCTCGCGACTCCCCCCAAATGGAGAGCTTGCTCGCAGGCTAAGGCGTCCAGATAGTGGAGTGTGGCGCGAAACTTGTCAGAGAGCGGGAAAAAAAGGAGTTTTTCATTTCACTTTACCGTGTAATTTGTTATTTTTCCATTAGGATTTATTGGAGGTTTCCATTCTACATTTATGACAGCTGAGTTGAGAGGGTAAGCTCGCAGATCATATGGCATTCCAGGAACTACAAAAAAACAAAAACAACAAACCAGCAAATATTGCAGTAGTTTTGAACATGCATCGTTGACTTTGTCTTCCGTCAGGGCAGAGTTGATTGAAAGAAGAGCTCAAAAAATATCACCACAAATGCTGGTTTAGATACAGTGACAATAGTTGTGTTCTTTGTTTGCAATGAATCGCGGCAAAATCAGAGCTAACCAAAGACTGACTTCAGACAATTCTCCAATGAGTAAGTTCCAATTTATTATTTCTTTTTCTTCCTAGCCGCCCGTGCCACTGACTGAAAGACATCTTTCTCGCGTATTCACCAGGCTTAGGATTCATCATCACATTTCTATCACTGCGCATAAGCACATATTGATATTCCGGTTCTAGCAGTATGCTACAGGATATTTGTCCATAAACCTAGTTTAGTGGTTCCTGTAGCTCAGTGGTAAAGAATGGCTGGACTAATAACCAGACGGTCAGGCAGGGATTTGAGTGCTGTTATGAGAACTCGGATATTTTCTTCCTAGCCGCCTGTGTCACTGATTGAAAAAATCTTTCTCATGCATTCACCAGGCTTAAAATTCACCATCATATTTCTACCACTGCGCATAACCACATATAGGCATTCCAGTCTTTGTAGCATGCGGTATATGTCACATGAACCTATTTTAGTGGCTTCAGCTCCCACGAGGATTAGTAACCAGAAAGTCATAAAAGGAATAACCAACCACGAAAAAAAAATTCAAAGGACTTTTAGAAAGTCTTAAGTTGTGTTAGGAGTACTCAGTTCTTTTCTTCCGAGCTGTCTGTGTCACTGACTGAAAAAAAAGAATCTTTCTCAAATTATTCACGTTAACACATTCAACCCATTAAGAGTGACTAACATCAATTTCTCCTACGTAATATTGATACATCATCGACAAAAGAGGTAGTGAGGGTTCTTAAAACGATCACCAAAGCAAATCCTTTATCAAATCCTCTCACCACTCTTCAAGGAAATATATTGAGATAAGTTTGCAGAATTTATAGGTGGATACAGTGGCTTGAAGGGTTAAAGATCACAGTGCCTCTCTCAACTTACTGGTCATATTGGTTGTGGCGGCAGCAAAGATTGAAAATGGACCAGTGCCGCCAGTAGTGGAGGCTTTGACCTTGAAGTAGTAGGTTGTAGCCGGCGTGAGGCTTCCTACCGTACAGGAAGAGCTTGATTGACTTTCACATCCTGTCGGTTTGTAGCTACCACCAGCCGAGGTGCTAAACAACGAAAGAAAATCAGTCATACAGTAAATCAATCATACAGTCTGGGAAAATAGGTTATTGTATTTTGTCGTATGTTAATGTACTTTATTGAATTCGCCACGATGACTCAACACGGTGACAGGGGATGAAACCGGATTAACGTCCCAATTGACATCAACCCCTTCATTATCCACCCAGCCCATGGAGGGTTGTACCACATCATTAGGGTCCACGCCCCCTACTCTTTACCAACTGCAGTGTGGGTTTTTTTACGTCCCACAAGAAACAGAACAGTGAAAGAGCAGTGAGACGGGGCCTATGGTTTTTCGTCCTTATCCGCGGTTCTTGTATTTTGGGTTACCTATTTGCAAATTACGCTAAGTATGTCCTTAATTAGGTTCTTCATTTTATCAAGGAGATAATAAATTCTTGACTACCATAAAAAGAGAAAAACTTGGGTTTGGTCCTTAAAAATAACGTATTTATTCACAATTGTATTACTATAACCCTAACAAAACTGATTACCATATTTATACAGTTTGGTTCACTTAGTTCTTGTTATACTTAAATTTACAATCTCAAATGTACATTCCTTAGTTCAATTGTTTATCATAATTTAACTGTAACCCACGTACAAGAAACTGCTTGATTTTGCTTGGCTAAACAGGTTCTTATATTTTTGGGTATCAAAGTGTCAAGTTTCCGCCAGCAGGTTCTTAAACCACTAGGTTTTTATCAGCGGGTGTTTACTGTAACTTGTTAAAGAGTTCATTAGTTCAATTAGTAGCGTTAACCTTGCAAAACGCGGAAAAAATGGTGGAGTCTTGTAAGGTGGCTCTAACTTTTGAGTCTGTGGATGAAATCCTATGGTGTTACCATTCAAATGAAACCTCATCAGCAGTACTTTCACGGCGTAATATTTATGTCGTATGAAGTTCTAACTTCTTTAGTCTGTGGATGAAACCATATGGTGTTACCATTCAAGTGAAACCTCTTCAGCTGTACTTTCACATGGTACTATCTATTTAGTGAGTAGTTCTAACTCTCGAGTCTTGTGAGATGGTTCTAACTTTCGAGTCTGAAAATGAAATCCTATTATGAGACCATTTATATAAAATTTCTTAGAGCCCGATTCACACCAAAGCTTAAACATGTTTAAAAGCGGTTTAGTTAAACACGGTTGAAAATAGATTTCTTCATAAAAGCTGCTTACTGACTTGAGTTGATTGCAAATTTAGTGCAAATTACAAAACATGTTGAATTTCATTTGAATTCTGTGTAAAAACCTATGTTCCAGTTTTCCATGTGTTTTCCATTTTTAAGTAATGATCCGGGTAAGGTGGATAGCAATTTCTTTTGTTATGCGGCAACGGTGCTTTCCCCACATAGGAATGTTCTCATTTTTACACAGAGAATGCATAAACCTACATGAAGGCCGTTTAGGCAATAAAATGCATTTACACTCCACTTTGAAAGGGTGTTTTTTTGTGTTAAAAAATTTTGACCAATCACAAGAGTTGAAAACAATAGCCAAGAAAAGTTTACAATTTTACATGTTCCCCACATAGGATTTCTTTGTTATTCAAACTGAGACCAGATTTTGTTATATGGAAGACGGTTGGAAAGTAAGGATGAATATATGTACCGCCTTATGAACTTTTGTTAACTTTTTCTGTTTAAGCCAATCAGACGTAAGAACAGACAATAGAAAAGTTAGCACCTTTTTTGCATTCCAACATGTTCGTTCCCGTTGTTGCTATCGTTCTTATCTGGACCGTTTCTTAAGTTTAGTTTCCTAGTTTAATTACACATGTTTAGTGTGAATGCGGCTTTAATCAGTATTCTCACCTGCAGACGAAACCCTATGGTGTGACTAGTCAAATGAAACCTGTTTTTCAGTATTTTACAAGATGAAATTTGGAAAGTGTGTTGAATTTAGACTTCGGCGCAAGTATGTCAAATAATCACCAATATGTATGTGTAATCAAATGGTGACGAGTGAAATTTGGGAATAATTTCACGCGCGTTTTGTCCAAATCCTCATAATTTCTTGAGCCTTTAGGGGAGGGAAATTATCAGGATTTGGACAAAACGCAAGTGAAATTATTCCCTAATTTCACGAGTATACCATTTGATTACCTATTAATATCATGGGTGACGAATTACGTTAGCAATCTTGGATTTTTGACATGTTTATCCTGGATAGTATCGATCGAGAACTCCTGCACTCTCTCGAACGTTTAGAGCTTAAATTCGGCTTAAGTTCAGAGTTTTTCAACAAAGTACCTATTAGAATCCTTCTTGATGTGCTCTTTCGTGTGTTCAGGTTTTCTAAAGCGTCTTTTTATTCCCTGCCATCTTCATTCATGACATTTTAAAACTTCGTCGCCATCTTGACACTGAGACGTACGGAAGGTTGCCATGGCAATTTTGTAATTTCACATGTGAAATTACAAATTATCACTGAAATTTCGCGCCAAAATTAAGGAGTAATTCGTCACCTATGATATTACATTAGAAATTAATTCCTATCACCTTTTATAAACCTTGTAACCTTTAATGGAACTGTCTGCATGTAGGGGAGGATCCCACTTCACTAAAATTCTCGAAGGCCCAAGAACCTTGGCAACAACATTGATTGGAGTCAGGTCTACAAAGACAGATCACAAAACAACTATGTTACACGTGAACAGTCACAACTTGTTGAAACAATTTTGTACTGTCAAAGGAGACGAAGTAAGCATTTACCTCGGTGTAAGAACCTGGGAGCTTTTTCATTGCTTCGTACCGTTTTTTTTTCCTTAGGTTCTATTTTGTTGACTTCTCTGCTTTCTCTGTTCTACGTCACCCGTGAGTCTTAAAGGTTCTTACACCGGGGACAAGCCATTTTCCCTGGGTGCAAACACAACCTCCAGTTAAAAAACTTGCGTAATAATGGCAGGGCTCCCGTTCGCAGAGCCTAGCCCCATACTCATGGAATATGGTCAACCTCTTTTCGCTTGGTTGTAACGTGATTGACCGAGCGTACGTACGTAGGCTGTATATTCTGTAGCTTTCTAAAAGGAGCGGTGGGGGCCTTTTGACTTCAGGGGGTCAAATTTTTACTTTCGTCTTTCAAGGGTAAGTACAACTTTTCTGAGGTGCCAGTGAAATATGAACAAAGTTAATTTCTTCTGGATCAAAAAATTCCTTAAAAAACGAAATATTTGTAGTAATTATAGACAACAAACCTTTGGCAACGTTGACCTGAACAATCTTTGTCACGTTGCTCACATAATTTTTGGCTGTTATTGAAACGTTGTATCTGCAAAGAAACAGAACATTTAACTCTGCTCCAGTCTTCTCAAAACAATGGTCTTTCCTTCCAATTTAATCTTTCTCCTGAGCGTCCCATGCAGGGGAACATATTTCACGTCTTAGTGGTGTAATGGCGGCAAAGAAAGATTGAGAACCCCGTTTGCACGGCTCCGGACAATACTTTTTAGACGTTCTCCTTTCCGTGGTCGTCGTCATTGCTAACCAGACGTAGTTGATCGATAAAAATCGATATCGGAAATCAATCGATATCATCGATATTAATCCGACGATTAATATCGATTGATAATGGACATCAATAGAAATCGAAGTTACAGAAAAATAATTTATCGATTATTATCGATAAACAAAATCGAAAACAATCGATTGTAATCTATAAAAAATCATTATCGATTTCTATCGGAAAATCATCGATATTAATCGAAGTCACAACTTTTTTCTATATCGATTTTGATCGATTGATATCGGAAATCGATATTAATCATCGATTAAGATCGATGACTATAGATGGTTTTCACAGTGACGTCATCAAATTGTACATTCCCGTAGCATGTTTCATTTCGAAAATACTATATTTTTGCGTGACACCAAAATAGGAATGCTGTCTTGTTGAAAAAAAGTCTCTCCTCTTGATTTTCAGCAGTATATCCATTTCAAGTATTAGAAGATATGTTTATGCCCACGTATGCTAGTTCTCGAGTGAAAAGAAAGAGCTTTTATAGAAAAAGGGAACTCCAGATGTTTTTGTTGATTTCCGGCGGCCATACCAAAACTGAACACCAATGTGACGTCTCCATACAAAGGTGCGTGAAACGTTTCGGCAAATAACTCAGAAACTGTGGGCCACAAAGACCTGAAACTTGGACAAATTGTTTATATATTAGTCTTCTATGACATTTCATTTTCTTGGCTTCTTCCACTTGACGGTTTCCAATTTATTTTTTGTTGCGTGACAGTGAAAACGATCTATCGATTGATATCGATTACCGGCGGGCTTATCGATTAACTATGTACGTCTGGTTGCTAAGGAGGAATAATTTGCAGCATACGACATAGCCATCGCATTTCCCTACTGGAATTTTTGACTGTTTTCAACAAAATCGTCAATAAAAAATTCGAGCGGGCATGCATGTAGTCTGCTACACAGCCGTTTTTAGTGTCGTCACTCCTCCACACTAAAAACGGCTGTGTAGCAGACTAGCATGCATGTGCTACGGCTATAAGCGGGGGCTGTAAATGGATGCACCATAAACACGGATCCGGGTATTTTTGATTACTACATTTTGCTATCAAGACTCGCGCGTACGGGTCCCTTTCTGGAGAGCGGAAAACAAATGCCGTTTCGTTTAGCGAACTCACTTGTTCCGTGGAGGGAAGGTCGAGTCGCGTTGAAAAATAAAGGGTTTCCAAAATATCCGGATTCGTGACGTTGTATCCGTAGCCTAATGACAATAATACGATAATATTTCTACAAAAGACCGCCTTAAAGAGCATGAAGAACAACACAAGATCAAAGAGTTGGAGAAGGATAAAATTAAAAGCAACACAAAACAAGGACGACTGGGAAGCACAGTGATGATGCCGCAGACAGGTTCAAGGTTAAAGTATGGTAAAATGTCTCACGTCTTAGAAGATTTGAACTGAAGTGTAGCCACTGCCTGCCAGCTCTCGAATTCTCCATCGTCATATTTCCATTTGTACTTCAGATGGCCAACCTGCCCCTTTAAAAGGAAAATTCCAACCAAGTAAAACCCAACATAGTCCGTAGTCTGCGAATACAGCCGTCCCTCCTCGCTCCTCAAAACGCAAGTGAAATTATTCCCTAATTTCACGAGCATGCCATTGAATAGCTTTAGATTCTAAGGCGAGTACGACTACGAGTGCGAGATTTTCCCAATACTGAGTATTGCTCACGCGTGAACCAGACGGTCATTTTGGCGGGAAAACGTGGTAGCCGTCGTCAAAACCGTAGTCACTCTACTAAGAGTTTTAGAGAGAATGTCGTAGTGGCGGAATCGAGTTATAAAATGTTAGAAGTTTTATCATTTTGCGATCGCGAGAGGGTGTAACCTCCTTCACGAAAGGTAAGAGTGATAACTCGTCAAGTGAAAAAGGTAAAATGAAGCTTTCCGGGGAGTCTATACTTTGAGAATACGCGAAAAAACTTCAAGTCAAATCTCGTCCTCGTCCTTGAACCTAAAGGTCTCTATTAGATTACGTATTAACCCTATTAATATCATAAGTGACAAATTACGCTCACAATCTTGGGTTTTTGACATGTTTTACCGTTAATTAATGATACTCTACAGGTTACAACTTCACGAAAGAGCAAACTGGAAAAACTATCAATATTTACACTCCGGGTAAAGAAACGTTTTGGGCAATAAGGAAAACTGTTTCATGTAATAACGAGGTAACCGCATTACAGAGGTGGCCGTAAGGCGGGGTTTCACTGTATTCTTGAATTTCTCCACAGGAGTAAAGTAGAGGTATAGGAAATTATACGGTTCCGTTCTTAGTTTCTTCAACAACTATTTATCATTTGACGACATACTTAGATGACTGCAGGGGCGGATCCAGGATTTTTTTTTAGGAGGGGGTGCACTCGTCTCTTGCTCTACTTCAACACCAATAAACCACATAGTTTTTTTTTTTTTTTTGCAGAATACCAGTTGTATTAGAAAACCGCAGGTCATCTCAGATGACTGGTTCCGACTACATCGTACCTGCTTGACTAATTTCTGTGTACTGGTATGACTTTGAAGTTAGAAATCACAGTCCCGGGTTTTACTTACCGGTGAATACTTTAGACTTGCAGAAAGAATGACATCTTCATTAACATCAGGGTTCTTGGGTTGATAGGTGACAGACATTTGCTTCTCGTTAAGTTTGTCTGGAAAAATATATTTACATCATGTTCTCTACTTTGAAGTGAAGGGGGGGAGGGCAAAATTGTAGTGTGTGAATTTCGAAAACCCGGGGAGTAGAGAAATTGGGATTCTAAGGTAGTATGTTAGAGAAAACACAAACTGATTGACATATGGATATGATGTGTCGACAGGCCTTTGAGAAGCTGAAACTTTCGGGCTGTACTAACCTTGAACGTAGAGGTCAATTCTCGTCACGAGAGTGCTGCGAGTATTCGATGCAACAACTGACACTACATATGTCCCTGGTCTGGAAAACAAATTTTACTTTAACTAAACTTTTCCCATATAATCAGTTTGAAATGAATCATTTACATATGCAAAACAAGTCAATCAGATGCAATAAAAAGAAAATGGGACATTTGTTCGGACAAGCGCCTTTTGAAATTCGATGAAATAAAATATCATCTGAAAGTCTTTTCCATATATAAAGAGGTAGAATTTTTCTCTGTGGGAGTTCACGAGACCTTAAAAACTTTTCCCCATTATGAAATTTTCAATACAAAAAATTTGTCGGACAAAATTTTGGAGTCACCTGAAATCCATCAAAGAGGTCATTTCCGAGTTTAAAAAACCCTCAATTTCAAAAACAGGTTAAGTCAAGAGCCATAATGGCTCTTCGCTATGTGCAAAAACTCTCTTATGATAATGGCGTTTCATTTGATTTAGTTCATATACATTTGTCACATTAATAAAAAATCCCTTTCAAATTATTTTGTTCGCAATTAGCCTGGCTGTGAATAAGAGGCTTAGCGCAACCTGGAAGTGGCCCATTCACACTTGTTTATCAGTAACTTTGTGAATTCCATTTCTAGTAGCACTGGAAGTACTACATCTTCGCTCGATTCATCCGTGTAGACATGGTGACAGACGAATACAGATGAATCTCCAGTTCCCTTCTCTCACCATTCGTTGTTTCTTTGTTTGTCTTTCGCATCTTTGTTTTCTCACTTTTTAATTCAACCATGCACATTGCTAGCCAACTATTACGCTGAAAACACCGCCATTTTGTTTCTATTTTTCTCACCGATCCCTTCATCAAACCAAAGTTCTATCTACACAAATTGGTTGTCGGACAGATAATTCGTCTGCAGTTTAAGTTAGGCTTACAACAACTGATATTTAAGGAAAATATCGAACAAACTTTGAAAATTTATTGTTCTTACTTGTCATATTTATGTTGCACGTTTGTGTTATTGTTTGTAAGGCCATCATGACCATCTCCAAAGAACCACCTGGAAGAAAAAAAGCTTATAAAGTGTTTTTCAACAAAACAAATAAGCAATTCTTTATAAAACTACACTAAATAATTGAAAGAACCATTTGCCAACCGTTTTTGCGTCAGGTGTTCTACCAAACAAACAAGCAAAAAACTAAGCTCATTAATTTGAGAAAAATGAAAAGATAGTTATCCTTCTTTTATTATTTTAGCCGTAACAGTCATAATAGAGAGGCAACAGTCAGATTTTTACACGGAAACAAGTCCATACATTTGACCCATCACTAGCATGCCTGAGTGACTACCCATGATTTTAGTGAGGTCCATGCACTTTGTGAAATACCTACTTGAAATTAATATTTGGCATATATCCTCGTCCAACCGCAGCACTGAAGGAAGCTGTTTGCCCAGTAACGATAGCAGCTATTCCATCTCCATTTGAATTTGAGCAGGTCAGGTTCAAATTAGCTAATTCTACAACAACAAAAAGACGGAACAGAAAAGCCATAATATTCAGAGAGCAAAACCTTGAACTGAACTAGCAGTTACTGCCCAAGTGAGACATGTTCACTTGTGAAAACCTTGATGCCTAAGTTGTGCCGGGATCTTTCAAGTCATAGCCTAATAGGCGAAAGTTTGAGTCAAACAGCAAATTCCACTGAAAACCATGCAAACGCGCTCTAAAATAATAGAGAATTACAATCACGTTTATGGAAAATGACAAACGTCAATTTGGCCTATGTGACCAAGCTCTCCCATTACCTATCATTTACTGTTCATTATCCCTATTAAATAAAAATAAATAGCTTCATGTCAGGTTAATCCATAAGAACCATTTTGCATTTGTAATTTTTATCTGATTATTTCCTAATTTGAGAAATTATTAACTTGATTCTTACTTAATTCTAAGGGTCAGTGATCCGAGATTGGATCGTTTTACATCAAATGAACCAATGAATTCTTTCCAAGCGTGGGTTCATCGGTTCCTTTGATGTGTTGTGATCCACGTGATCTGACATCACTAGTCCTGGTCCGGATCATCCAAATGGAACGCACTCAAGACCTCTCTTATGTTTTTCGCCAAAAACATTTGACACAGGAATGAAGCCGCAAATGCCAAGTAAAAGGACAATAAAGGGGGAGAGAGAAAACGGAAAGTAAAAGTCCATGAGGGAATGTCACATTTTTATCCAAAAACTATGATGAAAATTTCCCTTTTGTGCATTCTTGTAAACGGCACTGAAAAAGTCTGGATTTTTTTTGCCAGATGGTGACTGGAGAAGGGCATGAAATTGCTGAGGTGAATGGGTTAATTATTGCTTAGACAAGCTCTGAACAAAAATGCTTCATGTAATATATCAAACATGAGACGCAGTGTTTCATCACCAGATGAAACACCGAGAAGAGAGTTGAAAATACGACGCGCAGCGGAGTATTTTTGACGAACTTCGAGGTGTTTCATCTGGTGATGAAACACTGTGTCGAATGTTTGATATTTCTTCTCAAACAAAATCATTTTTGAAGGAGAAATTAAGGATGCAAATACTGAGCAGTTTTTCATCCGATTTCCAAACACTCATTAAACATTAATTTTCTTTGTATTTTCTTTATGAATTATTAATGAGTTTGAGAAGCATGATGCAACAGCCTTGGAGCATAATTATTATCCCTACTTTTTCTTTTCATTGATGTCAGCTTATTTCTAGTCTTTTTTCTTGTGTCAGACTAATGGGAGATGGAAAGTGGGAAATATCAAAATATCCATGCATGAGGAACACAACAAAGCACAATACAGTTCTTGTTATGGCCACTTTTCTTTTATAACGAGAGCTATCATAATGTCTATAGAGCATTTTCACTCAAGTGGCCGGTGGCCAGTAGCTATGCAATTTTATTGGGACACGTTTACATATAAAAAGAAAACAAAGCAAACAGGGCCGCCAACATGGCCGCAGCATTATTCCCCACTCCAGAAACTATAAGGGGAATGGGTACAAGCTTTCAGTGCAACGATTCCTGGGACAGTTTGAGTGGACAAGTGTTACTTATGATTGGTGGATGGTATCCAAGACAACCATTAACCAATCATAAGTAACGCTTGTCCACCCAAACGATCCAAGAACTCGTTGCGCCAAAAGCTTATGCCCAATCTCCCTATAGATGGTTTTCACTGTGACGTCATCAAATTGTAAAGTCAAAATAGCGAGGTTTTACGAATTCGTATTTACACTAGGTTGAAGATAAACAAAAAGTAAATCTTTGTACAAGTTTCCATTTCCGTAGCATGTTTCATTTCGAAAATACAGCAATTTGAACTTCCCAGTTTTCACAGTGCGTGACACAAAAATAGGAACGCTGTCTCGTTGAAAAAACAGTCTCTCCTCTTGATTTTCAGCAATATAACCACTTCAAGTATTAGAAGATATGTTTATTCGTACGTACGCTAGTTCTCGAGTGAAAAGAAAGAGCTTTTATAGAAAAAATCCAGAAGTTTTTGTTGATTTCCGGTGGCCATATTGGTGCACCAAAACGGTGCACCAATATGGCGTCTCCATACAAAGCTCGACAAATGTGCGTGAAACGTTTCGCCAAATAACTCAGAAACTATGGGCCACAAAGTACTGAGACTTGGACAAATTGTTTATATATTAGTCTTTTATAACATTTCATTTTCTTGGTTTCTTCCACTGGACGGTTTCCAATTTAATTTTTTGTTGCGTGACAGTGAAAACGATCTATAGTTTCTGGAGTGGGGAATTGTGTTGGGCCTTCAAAATGGTGGACATGACGTCATGTGGAAAGGCTGTTTAGAAGAGGTCAAAATTTTATTGTTACCTTTGACAGGGCAAGGAGTTAACACTGGCATGAAGTCTTCCTCGTTTCCATTCTCACAAGTATCTCCTGGAATCTTACGGAACCTGGTGCGTAAAGATGATAAAGTACCGCAAAAAATAGTCAAAGAGATGTTTGAATGCTTCTACAGAAAAAGCAGCAAAGTGGTGATCAAAACAACTTTCATAAATGGAA